AATTTCTAAGGAAAATGTGGTACCCCTGTACCACTGTTACTAATACAACTACACAACAGGTGCAGATCACTTTTGAAAAAGCCCTATTTTCTATATAGTCAAAATCAAACAGTATTAAAAGCAGCTGTAGCTTTTTGATGAAGGTGGCGTAGTTCCCATGACTGGTCGCCCACGTGGGCAATTGGCCCACTGCTACGCCCTGTGACAAGTGGCACTCAGAACGTGTGCTTGAGCAACAATCGGTGAGCCTACACCTGCAGAAGGAGTACATGCCCCGCTGCTCAGAGACACCGCCACATAAACAGTGTATTGTGCCCTGATGTGGCCGCGGTAATGGGAGGGGGGGCTCCACGGTACGGAGCGCAGGGAGGGTCATTGTCCCCCTGTTTACTGCTGACCTATCAAAGAGTGCAGGACTAATGTGGGCTCTCAGGGGGAAACGGCCCGCTCTCGAGTGTGTCATCAGGAGAAAAGGTGCGGACCTGAAGTGGGAAAACCTGCGCAGGAAGCACAGACCCACGGAAGATGACTCAACCATCAAGAACATCTTCAGGCCTGACGGGGGGTCAGAAACATCGCCCTGTAGTTCCTGTGGTGGTGGAACTGTACCCACACACATGACTTACAGGAAGTGTGACGTGCTGCATGTAAACATATACTAACCACATAGCAGTTAGAAGTCCTATGTTAAAATGTAAACTGCTAGTGTAAGGCCACACCAATTTAATTTCTTGGTTAACGGATTTTTCTAGAAAAATAATGGAGCGGGCGGGCGAAAAAAATAAAAATAAAAACAGGCCTAGGCATCCTATTATGGCCCAAAATGGTACGATAGGAGCCATAAAGTCAACACACCAGGCTGGTTCAAAATTTAAACAATGAATTTTGAACTTTTAATGATACCACTCCATTGGAAGATGGAATAACTGTAACAACTAGGAAGAAAAGGACTGTTTTCAACTCTTCAGGGCAAAATATAAGCATTTTGCAGTTGATTCTGAATTTTTATTTTTATTTTCAAATCAGAAAAAAACGAAGCGGGCGAATCCGTTAACCAAGAAATTAAATTGGTGTGGCCTTACCATTTGTTTGTAAACTTCTTTCACTCTAGCAATAAATGGGACATTCCAAATAATATTTGATCAAATGTAAATGTATTGTGTTATGATAGTGGCAGCATGTTCATTAGTTTGCAGTCAACAATTGATATTGAATAAAGTGAAATTGACCAGATGTGTATTCTCATTTCATACTCATAAGTAACACAGGGGGTACTGTCAACAAGTTCCAAGCTAAATTCGTTGCAGTGTCATGTAAGCTGGTACCATGGTCCAAATTCTACAACCCAAATACTACAGTGTAGCAGAATCATCAGCATGTTGATGTTGGCTACCTTAACCTCCAAGACCAAGACCAAGCTGATATACTAGTACCGCAGTGTGTACTAGTACAGTGAAGTGGATAATCAGGTCTATCACGTTTGACCTTTAGCCTGCTTACTTCCTCTTGGTATTGGGAGAATCATATTTACACGAGACTTTGGATTTTAGGCTCATTTCGAAGATTCAGTCAATCAGGTGCATCTTAAACCAAAAGGTAAGTTATGTACTGAGTAATTAGGCACACAGCCTCGTATTTTCTGCATTGATATTAGTAAAATGAAGTGTAAAATTAGGAGTATGCAAAACGTCAGGCAGACGTATCAGGTATACAGTGAGTTTGAGGTGATGATTGCCTGCATGGATTCATCAAGGAAGTGCCTGATGAAATGGCCCATGTACGTGACTCCACGCTCTGACCAATCAGAGACAGACAGACAGTTGATTAGTCTACAGTCGTTTTGAAATCACGAGAGACTGTGAACACAAGGAGAGACTTGTAACGAGACGACCATGGCCAGTTTATCCTGACATCTTCAAAGGTAGGATTTTTTCCAGCCTGACTTACGTCTTATTTCTATTGTACCATGTCATGCAGCAGGAAAATAGCCCAGAGAATCTGCTAGCTTCAACTTGAATAAATTTTCGGCAGTGATTGCACCTTTTATGTATGACTGCACATATGTTAGTATGACTGCACATATATGTATGCTTGCCATGATTTCCAAATATTGGGTGATGTTCGCAAGCCGTGAACCGTGTCTATTCAATGTGACACGGTGTAATTTCTAAGGAGAAAATACGCTTAAGTGATAAAGTTTTCTGAAGTCCCCAGTAACATTTTTAAGCACAAAAGAATAGTAATTTGGAAGCCTGCCTGAAACAAGACTTTAATTTCAGCTGAATGATGTATTCTTATGTTTACCTTTGCTCCGTTTCTTCCTCAAATAAGTCAATGATCTGGACCTGACGTCTGTCACCATGGTAACCAGCATTGTAGCAGAAACCCTGTGGTGTTGGGTTACATAATGTAGCAGGACAGAGTTGGAGGGACTGCTCACCATATGAATGTGTTTGGGTAACAATAAATAGAGCAGTAGTTAGTTAGGCTAGACCAATTGTGAAGGTAAATATTGTGCATTTGTTTTGCAGATGTTACCTTTCTAGTTTGAATTGTGTTACTGCAGGTGTTGACGTCCACGCTGACGCAAACGTTGTCATCAAGCCAGACGTTGAGTGAGACCTGTCCAAGCGACTATTCATCCTTCAGCGAGCATTTCGGAGACCACCAACAAACCTTCTGGAGCAAAATAGTTCGTACAGCAATTGACAGTCTCGCTAAATAGGGCTACAGACTCTCCATTTTGTTTTTAAGACCCGTCCTCGAATCTGACGCACATAGAAACACTGAAACACTTAGGTAGAGAACACTCACACAGGTAGAGAACACTTAGCTTTTACCAGGCTTCCGGAGGCGGTTGGAAAGAGTGGGAATCGGCCAAGTAGAGAGATATGCCAAGGGAGTTGGTCCGCTAGAGAGTACATTTTGCCGCAAACTGGCAGAAGCTAGAGAACGCTGCCCCAGGGAATCTCCAGCGTACGAAGCCAAAGCCCTAATATAACCCCTGGCCAATATCTCCAGGATCCGTCAGACGAGTCAGTCGGTAGCACAAGAAAACTGTCACACTAGCTTTAGAATGGCGATAAAACACTTCATGCTCTTCATTTTAATGGCAGATATAACAAGTACAGTATTTGGTGACCCTTTTCCGACCACATGTTATCATCATAATGGTAATGTTACTCATTTTGAGACTTTTGACAATGAAATTAATTGCGCACGTTCAAACATAACCAGTCTACCAACTAGCCTCCCACCCTTCGTGAAAAAGGTTTTCCTTCAGGAAAACCGTATCCAAACCGTCCCAGACTTATCCGAATTTCGGTTCATCCAGCTTCTCAACCTCAGCCACAATCTCATTAAAATATTTCCCTGGAAATCTTTGACAAATACGACAAAACTTTATCGGCTTGATTTGTCCCACAACCAGTTGACGTCCATTCGGCTTGACTTGCTCGAAAAAGGCGTGCTAACATCGCTCTACAGGGTAGACGTGTCCCACAATCGCTTGGCCACCTTTTCTCTGTTAAACCTTGTCAATCCTTCAATAGATGTGGCAAACTTGCCCAATCCTAACAGAACAGGGTACAGGTCCGTTAAGGGTAATCCTATCCAGTGCGACTGTCGCATATTATGGTTGGCAGAAATGGCTAGTACCTTTCATGGGTGTTGGCCCTTCAAATGTACAGTTGCCGATGAATATGGCCTCCTTTACCACGACTTTATCAATGGCATACCAAAATGTCACAGTCCTAAAACCCTACATAACGTCCCTTTACACGAAGTAAATCTAAAAGCCTGCGAACAAGAAGTTCAGACCAACAGCTATACTAGCAAAACTATTGAAACTCGATTTTCCGCGACACAAACCGAATCTGAATTTGCTTCAAAACACTTTGGGGATAAAACGAAGGTTAACATCGTCACAGCACACATGGTTGTATCTTCAGTAGACAATATTGCCCCGAATCGGTATGTCACTGAATCCGCTGCTAAGAAACAGAAATCCCACGTGCCCGAAGCAAAAGTTGCAGGTGCTATAACTGCTGTCATGGCAATATTATTCTTTCTTGTCGTCGTGATATGTCGCTATCGGTCAGCATGGCGTTGAAAGTAAAACAAAAGGCATTATAACCTCCGGGGAAGGTGATATCCTTCCGTAGGAAGGTACTGTTTTCGGTCGTGTTTGTGTGTTCGCAGCTGTAACTCATGGTGGGTTGGAAGGATTTCTTTGATTTTTGGAATATGATTAGTCCTTGAGGTCTAGATGATTTGGTTTTTGTTATGGCTTCAACACACCAAGTCATATTTTGGACAGGGTTGATTTAGGAACAGTAAATTTGTCCGGGAGGGGGATAGGTCCATTTTTGGTATGGCGGATGTTTCGTATGTTCTAGTTTCTCATCTGTATTTTAAGTATATCAAAATAAAACCATTCCCCCGTGCTGTATGTGTGGTATCGTCCATGAACAGTTGTTGCCAATACCACACTACTTTACTAGTATATAGGGGGTAAGCTTTTATTATGATATCACCTGTCTTGTAAGCCATGTAGCGTTACTGGTAAGGTTGCTGTTAATCATGTGTTGTCTGAAATTGTTGGCAGTCGTTGTAAACATTATGCATTGTATATACTAGTACATAATATACCTCCCAGAGGTTTGGAATCTTATATTTCTTGTTTTGTTTAGTATTTGCTGCTCGAGCAAGACAGTATGAGACGATGAGACTATTTTCGTTGATACACTTTATCTCTACTCGTAATTAATGTAAAGATCTTTGCAAACTATTAGCCGTGAGCTAACTGTAGCTGAACTAGTGATGATATTGAGTCAGCACAAAGTAATATACAGTATGTACATTTTCTGCAACACCAACTGTTACAGCCTTTGTTCATACGTAAAACATACGAGAAATTAAAGTTAACCTTAATGAAAACAGGATATTAGTTGTACCAGTTACACATGATGTCATATTTACATTTTGTTGTTGAATTGTCTTGTTCCACTTGAAATATATACGGTATGCATTCTTGGGATATGTGAAATGCACCGTACATGTGAGTGCAAGGAAAATTTGAACGAAATAAACAGAAGTCTAAAATTTATGGACGAGTTTAACGTTATTTTTCTATAGCAGTGTCTACAAGAGTTACGTGTGCAAAACGTCGTACACCTGGGCTGTTTAAGCTCCTTGATAAGACGAGCAAGATTCACTTCAAGGTTTTGGAAAATTACTTAAAAAAAACGGGGTAGACAAAATGAAATGAAAAGGCCACGTCCACGTGCCATGGGAGTGAATGTGATACACTAGTAGTAGTAGTATATTTCATGTATAAAAAATAAGAAAACAGCGAGTGCTACCAGATACAGACGTGATTAATGACCATTGCAACTTAACTTGACATGGGGACCACGCGGACACACACACACACACACACACACACACACACACACACACACACACACACACACACACACACACACACACACACACACACACACACACATACACACACACGCACACGCACACACTGACATGCCAAAAACAATACCTCCATTTTAAAAAGATTTTGCCAGTACTATCACAGACATACTGATAAGACCACGTCACATAAAGCATTATACATGTAACTTATGTAAGCTTCATCCATTTTCTCCAGACTAGTCTGCAAATCAATTGCAAGTGCACGTCATTTTCTTTTCTTTTTTTTTTTGGCTGATGAATAACTTTGACGTACAACTTTGTACGTGGTAGGATTAACAGATGAGACATTGCATGTCGTGCCACGTGTATGTAAAGGTATTCAGGAATCTGGAACTGAAGTTTGTATAGCTTTGGGCTTTGTTTGCTGCAGACACACTGTCTACCTGCCACAGTGGGAGCATTGGTCGTTCTCCTGGTGAATTTCGAGGTATGTATACGTGGTGTGCTAATCTTGTTATAGAAAGCACAGAGTGTATTATTTACCTTTTTCACAAATTGTGATACACGTGAACTATTCAGAATGGTTCTGGATAAAGCACGGTTCTAAGAAGGTCTAAAAAACGGAGTTGAATGTAACCGATGGTTCAGCACCAAGGACAGATCCTCGCATACGTATGCTATGGGATAGGGTTGTTTGAACTTATTACAATAAAAAAATGACAAAAATTGACTTATGGTGTCCTGAAATTGCATTGGATGCTTTAAGCTAGTTTAGGAGCTCACAGCTGAAATCTATCGTGTACATGTCGATATTCTGCAGGTTGCTATTTCAACGCAAGTGTTCGTGAAACAACGCAACTAAGAAACCATCTCAAGTCGTGGGAACAAATCATTTTGGACTAGAAGAAAGTAGACATTGTTGTGATGTAGAGTCTTACAGTGACATGTGACGCTGCAATGATTGTAACATACTTGAAGTGTTTGATTCTCATGCAACTGATAGCCGGCACTGTTACCAGTGACCGTCTGCCCGAAAGATGTTATGAGAAAGTTGACTTTCTTATCACCATCAACTGCACGGATTCCAATGTAACTAGTCTGCCTACTAACCTTCCACGTCTTGTAGAAAGGGTGTACCTCCAGAACAATCGTCTGCAAACCATCCCTGACCTATCCAAACTCTCGCACGTTTACATCCTAAATTTCAGCCAAAATTTCATCACATCCTTCTCGTGGGAGTCTTTGAAAAACTTGAAGCTCCTTTTAACGCTGGATTTGTCGTATAATTTCCTATCTACTGTGAGGTTGGATTTGGCCGTCAGTCAAGGGTTAAATAATGTGCGCACTGTCAACCTAGCTTACAACAATCTTGTCAGGTTTTCCGCTGCTAACCTCGGCCTAGGTCCAAATAAATGGCGATGGGTGAGGTTCATGTATATACATGGTAACCCCATTCACTGTGATGGTACTATGGAATGGTTTGCTAATGATTTGTGCATTCTTTTCCATTGCAATTATAGGAAATACTGTCAGCTCAGCTATCATCCGTTTTTTGACCATTTTGCTACCGAAATGAGTGTGCCCAAATGTGCTGCTCCGGAAAATCTGAAAGATTTTCCTTTGCACAAGTTCTCCAAAGATTGTGGCTATGTCGTACAGGCGAATAGTACTCGCCCACACACAAAAAGAACCAACTTGAAACCTTGTCCAAAACACTCCAAGCCTTTGTTCGTTTTCAAGAAATGAGGTCCGCATAAAATACAATAAATTGTTAAATCATCAGCAAATGTAAATTGTACAAGTTCAGTTCGTGTAATTCACGGTCATGAATTTAAAAAAATAGATTAGAAATGTAAAGTGTATCGTCACTTCATCAAGAGTATGACAGTAGCCATGTATAATAGATTCGAGATCAAGAGGTCATAGGTTCAATTCCAGGGTGGAAGTCATGTTATTGAGTAAGGCCACAGCAAGTAATTTTTATGGATGACATCAGCGCGCGCATTAATTTTTGCCTGATTTTGAAAAAAAAAGAGAAATTTTGTTGCCTTCTCACAGTGGTCAACATGCCGAAAATGGGCAAAGATGTATGTTGCCATACCGGAGGGTGGATGGCAGACAACTATGAAGAGAGGAGACAAGAAAAGGCTCTGATTTAATGTTTTGTTTCTTACTTTGATGCAGTGATATGTGATGCTGACTGTGTATATGTGATGTTCCTACTGAATCATAACCATTTGTACGATTGAGTCAAAATTTTAAATTGTAGGAACCTTGTTTTTTCGGCCCACCTTGATTTTCTTTGCCCGCTCGCATTAGATTTGGAATCTGCAATGGATGTCATCCATAAAATTTACTTGTTGTGGCCTAAGGCAGTGTACATAAGTTTCTTTTGCACTCCACCCAAGTGTAAAATGGGTACCTCAGTACCTGGCTTGGTAGAAGTTGGTGGAAGGAGAGGGATGGGCTCTGACTTTCAATACCGTCCCCTTGACACAGTGGACTATTAAACAACTGTATTTTCCACTTGTCCAATATAAAATAGTGTGATAGTAACAGGAGACAACTGAACTGCAACTAAGGTTCTAGAGTGATGTATATAGCTCAATACTCAGTCTTGTATCAAAGTCAGTACACAATTGCATAAAATATGTTCAATGAACAGACATGTTCCTTCTATGATAGCTTTAGGCCACACCAATTTAATTTCTTGGTTAACGGATTCGCCGCTTCATTTTTTTCAGATTTGCAAATAAAAATAAATATCCAGAATCAACTGCAAAATGCTCATATTTTGCCCTGAACAGTTGAAAACAGCCCATTTCATCCTAGTTGTTACAGCTATTCCATCTTTCAATGCAATGGTATCATTAAAAGTTCAATATTCATTGTTTAAATTTTGAACCAGCCTGGCGTGTTGACTTCATGGCTCCTATCATACCATTCTGGGCCATAATAGGATGCCTAGGCCTGTTTTTATTTTTATTTTTTTGTCGCCCGCACGCTCCATTATTTTTCTAGAAAAATCCGTTAACCACGAAATTAAATTGGTGTGGCCTTATTGCTTGTTTTTAGGTTGTCAATGGAAATATGATTGAAATATCATCTTCATTCTGTATAAAACATGCCATTATTATATTTACAATTTATAGCAGCAATAGTACCATCATAAGTGTGTTTAAGAAAAGGCACAATATACATGTAAGAACAAAGAAGGTCTGTGTAAGATTTGGGTCCTTCAATTCATTCATTTCAAATATGTTGTATGAAATGATGTAGAGACACATTTTACATTAAGAAACCATTTATAAATGTAGAAACATTATTTGGATATTTCTTCAGTGCCTATAGTAACATTATGTGTATAAAGTATTAGAAAAATGATGGAATGATCTGAATGAACTTTTTTTGTTGCATCACTTCTGCACAATTCCTGCAGTGTATTCCCTAGTTCTGATCACAGATACCCAGATGCACACATACATGTACATGTATATGCAAAATATACATTGTATTCTTTTTAAACATGTTTCAAGTATTCTGAGCCCTCATTATTTGTCACATTTCTTGTATATATTTTAGCCAGTTGAAGATCCATATAAAATATCTATCAAAATATACATTAAAATCTCCATAGATGTTACTGTCAAACATCCACCTACAGCTGTCTCAGCTTATAGCCTAAAACCCAGCTGCCTGAGGCAGCTGTATTCAGCTGTAACCACCCTTACCGCATGGCTGCATCCCAGGCTAGTACACTGTATAAATCTATAGGCTGGCAATTTGCCTATATTCTTGTCTCAGACAAGTGAAAATTTAGTACAACAAGTTAAAAGACAGCTCAAAAGTCCTCAGGACCTATTTTGTACAAACCTATACGTCATTTATTTTCTCTACTTTATTACTTAAAATTGATTGTCAATTCTTTTTTTTTTGCTGACATCCGACACCTTACTGTATATGGTGTGTTATGCTGAAGGGCAGTTACCCCAGCTATACAAATACAGATACAGAAGCTGGTATGTTATGCCGAGGGGCAGTTATACAGGCTATTACAGATATAGATCTGTAGTACAGAAGGTAACACTATGGCAGTCAGATGAGTTGTTCTACTGTGCCGGTTCTTTCTGTTTAGAACGGGCAGACTTCTTTTTGTCCTCCACTTTGCCTTGAAGTAAAGAAAGGAACAAAATGTCAAATGTTGCAGTAACTGTCACAAATTAAAGTGAAAATGGTAAATACAGGCATATATAATCAATTGGTAATATTTGATTAATATATTATAATAAGAATAATAAAATAGGTTTATCCTATCATAGGATATATATCTATAGTTTCATTGATGTGCACAAGATTTGTTTCTCTTCAATGACACAACCAAAAACTAATTCTTATCAATTGAAAAGGACTACAACCTCCCCCTTGCATAACAGAAGAGAGTTTACCTGTAGCCTTCCTCTGTGACTGGTCTGTGAGGGACAAGTCTCCCATTTGTGCCTCCAAAGATGCTGCAAAAGAAACAATTTCATATGACTGTACAAAAATGGATCAATCATGCTGCATATTGAAGTTAAAAGAAATAAAAAAACAACAAAGTATGGCTGTCTAACAAAGCTCTGGATTGGTCAGATCATGGAGGTCTTTTTCTACCTCCATGGTCAGATGGCTCCAGGCACTAGTGCTTCAAGAGAAACTCTAACCAACATAGTTAGATAGCTAAATTGGGAAGTCCTCATAATGTTGCAACACCGTGTTTCTACACCACTATATGCAGTCCAGAACTCCTTATGAAATAGGTTAGGGTTGCTGGAATATAGGGGTGTCGGAGTGTAGGGGCATAGAACATACCTGTACATGTAGAGGCATTGATATATTGGGGTAACTTTAGCCTGGTACCCATCCTATACCTTAGGTTCTTATAAGTAGGGAAAGATGCCAGGATAGGAGTAGTAAATAATACCTACCCACTCGCTGGACTGGTTCCATCGAGGGTGGATCCACTGGAAGATGATGCAAAACTGGATGGATGGAAAACAGCTAAATTGTCAAACACACAACTGAGTTAACAACAAGTTGAAAATTTGGTGCAGGTCGAGTAGCCTCCTTTATAGCAGCATATCTGTTCTCTGCACTTTTGTACCTGTTTTTGGTGAAGTGGTACACTAGAAATTGTAAATGTCTACTGAGAACCGATAGGCCATTACCAAAAAAAAAGCACATTATAACCCCCACAAAAAAGCCGAACTCATGATCAAAACACCTGCTAAGATGCGCTGTGTGCCTGCAAAGCTGGTGTGTTATGCCAAAAGGCGGTTATACCAGCTATACTGATACAGAAGGCTACTACTACTAGTTAAAAAAAAGCATGCTTACATACTTGGAGGCTACCAGATTAAAAAGGGCCAGCTCCTAGAGCCTGCTAAGAGGCTAGAGAACTCCAGGCCTCACCTGGACTCTGCCGACGTGGTTCTGCCTGCCGAGGCGCTCCTACTCTGCTCCACGGAGCTCCCTCCTGCAGAGTCTGTTCTGCTATACTCCGCAGAGCCTCAGTCAGCCTGTCCATGGAGGCCTCCTTACCATAGTGAGTTCTCCAACAGTCCACTACCTGTAACCGGGGGCAACTACATATCAACAAACAACAAGGGTATGTTCTGCTAGAGTGTCTGTTCACACATATATTCTCTCTTCTCTCTCTCTCTTCAACATACAATTTGTAAACATCCCAAACGTGACTTAAGCCCCTATCACACAGTCAAATATTGCCTACCAAACATTGGCCAAACTCCCCCCAACCACCGTTAGGAGTAGGTCGAGAGCAAGGTTGGCTGTGGTTGGCAGCAGGTGTTAAAAAAATGTGTATATTACTTGGGTATTGATGGGAGCTTTGGCCATGTTTAATGGTTGGCTGGTGTATGGTCGGTTGGGGCTTGAGATTTGACTCAAATTTAACTTAAATTTGATTTTGTATCGAACAGTAGGTGTGGCCAGGGGAAGGTTCTGAATGTATGACAAGGGCTTCAAATAGCAAGTCAGATGTGCCTTTGGTAATCTACCAATATAACATCTACCAACACAGATAAATTCCCATGCCCCCTTGTCTCTATTTAGCCTGGGTACCATCCAGATTTTCGCTCCGCCACGCTCGAAAAAATCACATGATTGCGGAGCGAAAATCCGAATGGTACCCAGGCATGTCTCTATTATGTTGAAGTGAAACATACACAAATTGTGTATGAGTTAACGTTTATCACCCACCTCCATAGCCCTTGCCTTGCATCCTCCGTACTCCTGTTGGATATCAGCCATGACATCAGCTGGGATGTCTAGTCTATTTGCCAGCCTCTGTACCACAGCATCTGACAGCTTCACTTTCTTCTGTATCTCCTGCACCTTCTGTCTGCACTGGAGGTCTGAAGGGGTGTTTGGTCCTGTGGAACAACAATGTGCACATGTACTGTTTAATAATAGGAAGTGTAGCTATAAATTGACTACAAAAATCTAATGTTAGGCTTAGAAGTTAAACCTAGAGTTAATGAATAGGTCCATACTCATTTACCATATTTCAATTTTGGTATTGTAATAATAACATGGTTACTAAACCAATTTTCTATAATTTTTTAGCTGCCGAGTCTCTTTCGTTCTGTTGGAAGCAGTTTGGTAACCATGCTATTCCAACAAACAAACAAACAAACAAACAAACACAGACAAGCAAGACAACATTATCACCAAAAGAAAACATTATAAAAACGGCTAAGTCTTGGTAGTTTGAATGAGACAAACAATCACTTTCTGGAGCCGCATTCTAGAGTTTGTGGAAACAGTCAAAAACCATTTTTTAAAAGATTTAATTGATAATGAATGATTGATGTTAGCCATATATAAGGCAGGAGTGCCCAATTCTCTCAGGTTTAATATAGATACATGTACTTACCTTCAAGCATCTAGAGGGTTGATCAGTTAGATGATCATTTGGAGTGCTTTTTAATTAGGCTACCAGTAGTACTGGTATTGGGTTATCAACATACAAAACAGCTAGTATTACCTACCTGGGGGCACACTGAGACACCTGAAGAGTTTTCTCCTAAACCCCACCTGTCCTGGCTCCAGTACAGACAGATCACACAGGACAGACGGAGTTCTGTCATTGGTCATCTTGATCGGAATCAGCCGCCGCGTGACCTTCTTGTCGTGACTCGACAAAATCTTACACAAGAAGGTCGACATTCGAAACGTCGCCTCCGCGTTTCTTCTCTCCTCCATGTAGCGAATCACCGTCTTGGTCAGAAACACGATGGCGTGGCGACTCTTTTCAAACGACTGTTGGAAGGCGTCCATCTTGTTTCCGTCCTCATTACGATGTGGATCGAAGACGTTGACTTCCCAATCATCGCTTTCCAGTATCTTAATTTTGATCTCTTCGACCTTACATTTCTCTGGATCATCCTTCTCATAAAAAAGTACTGCGTCATACAGGAAGTCATTTTGTACATGTCCTTCAGAGTTCTGTGCCATTGCCATCTTGGCATAAAAAGGATCCTCGTTTTTAGTTTCTTACTGTCTCATAAAGCTAGTTCATTCTCACATACTAGTATATTCGCAATCTCATACTTTCTGTGCAATTCTGTTGTTCTACCTTGACCTATCTATGTGTATCAAACACATGGTTCACATGGATGAAACAGTCTGACATGACAGATACAGAAAATGCTTTAAAAACTAAAAAAAAAAAATCTAGATTTTAGATCTCCTAGCTATTGAAGCGGATTGTGGAAAAGTAACATTAGAACGTGGGACTTCATTTTGAAGTATTCGGGAAACGATTATCACACGCAACAGATGGTCATAGTCATACAGCTTTCACATGGTATCAAAGTAGCTCTCGATTACTTACTTCCTGGTTACAACGCAACGTTACCCTCCCCCATGTAACAACTTCCGGGGACTTCAACAACAGTCGAAACGGCACTTCACGTTTTCCATATCATTATCTTGAGATGATAGGATAGCGCAAGTACGGATACTTCCCTTACAGTATCGTCCAAAAAAATTTGCAAACGTCTGGGAAGGAAAATTATATGATTACCCGGTACTGATAGTTTTTTTTGGTGCGAACCGTGCAGAAAGGGTCATAGGATGTACCATTCAAATGGCAGGATTAGAAATAGGGTGTTAGAAATTGTAAGAAAATGAAAATGGGACAAGAACTATTTTCTATAACTTGCTTTTTGCACGTTTGTTTTTAACGTTATGTTTTAAGATATTTTTAACCCTACAAAAAGTGATAGCTCACGGTAAAACAAAAAAAAAATACCCCCATTTCAAAATGCATTCTTCTACTGACCTCTGACGTCATCAGCCTAAAAAGCGCGGGAAAAATCACAGTAGCTAACCAGCTTCGAGGGTACGTTCCGTCTGTTAAAACATGTTCCCGACGTTTATATGGCTCTGTTTTATGATTTCCGTCACGGCGTTGCTTCCACGAGAGGTCCAATGTCCAGAGCAAGTTCAAGTTGTCCGAGACGGCGAGATGGACATATCGGGTGAGTCAAATTTCTCAAAAACAAAAGCCTCTATTACTTCCCTCCAACAAAATTTGCTCCCCTAGCTTAGTCGCTAGGGATAGCCTAATTGCGTGTGTGTGTGTGTACGTATATGTATAACATTGTAATGTATGTTAACGTTATAACGTTATATTAAAATAACTTATATGTACAATATTTGGATCATGACAAGTATGAAATTATTGAAATAGTTACTTTAACAGTTGGGATTATACATTTGTACATCATTTTACCCTTGGTTTTTAACCATGATGTTTTCTTGTTATAATTTTCTTTCTTCATACATAGTTAGAGATGGTGGAACAGCACTGATGCTGCTTAAGGACTTCCCCGAATTCGACCCAAGCCAAAAATTGGCTTTGGCAAAAGTAAGATATTACAGAAATGGAACACATGTAGACACGACTGAAGTGCTCAATTGGTCACCAGGTAATGTTAATCCTAATTTTGTTAACCATGCATGCAAACTTAAGTAAATAGTACTGTATCGATGCATACATATGTCAGACCTTTAACCTATAACATATAACTATAGTGTCCATCTTTCCATCATTTCACGGTCAAAAATTTGGCCCAATCTGTCACTAGTATGAGGGCCTGCAAGGGGGGGGGGGGTAGTGTTTACGAATTATGCAAAATTTTTGCCGCCTATTACGAATTACGTTAAAGTCTCAGAGTTGATTACGACTTGCGGCTAATGTCCAATTACGAATTACGTTGATATTTTGCGGAGGCTGCCGGATTACGAAGTCTAAAACGGCCTGATTACGCCTTAGGAAAAAGGGCTTGCAGGCCCTCTAGTATCTTTTACGGACAAAAATTGATTGGCATGTTATGATATAAAAGATTTGTACACTTTCCCGATGGAACAAAAGCAGATGAGAAACTTTACCGGTTGTGTAAGGAAATCTCTTGTTTACTTTACTTTTCAGACCAAAGTCTGCAAAGTGTATACATTGCAGAAAGTTACAGAGACCGTGTGTCACTGATAAACACATCAAATGGAATTGCAGTGGAATTCAGAAATGTCAGACAGACAGACGTTTCTACAGACGCACAAAGTGTGTACTACCAGTTCCAACAGATCGGTTTGCAGGGACCAGATATAAACCTACACATTGTCGGTGAGCAATAAGCAAGTTAACTTTATTTTCTAGCCTCTGTGTGGTGACATCCGTCATGTCCATAACAGACCTGAGAAAACTTTGATGATATATATGAAATTTCAGAAGATGTTTGAAAAGCAGTTTTGTTATAAATGTATACAACTGTGTTGTTCAAAGTTACAAGATCTGTTTGTCACCATAGTTACAATATATAATGTGTAAAAATTTGCCACGTTTATTGTACATTGACAGAAAAAGATTTATTATTTGTCATATTCAATCAGATTCCTAGGTAATATGTATGAAGAATTGGTAATGACTATGAAATTAAGTGTGATTGGGATGTTTTGATATACTGCATTGTTTCAACATCATGATCTGAGTTCATAATTCCTCAATGTTGCTCTAGAGCCTTCGTACAACCTCAAAGTCACCCGGAAGGATGCCCACGGATATGTACACCTGGAGTGGACAGCTGGGTTCTTCGATGGACAGGACACAACTTACACCGTACAGTACAGAAAAATGGGTGGAGAATGGGTCAATGCTACTGATCATGAACCACCCAAAAACAACTATCCAAACTACACAGATATAGTCCACCTCTCAGAAAAGGGAAACTACAGCATCAGGGTCAGAGCAGCAAATGGGATAGAGCCACTTGCATTTTCTAACATCACTAATGTGACTATAGAAGGTTAGTTGCAGAAATAAATAAAACCATTACTAGCAACTAATATAAAACTGTGTGTACCAAGACATTTGTTTTCATGTTGAGCTGTCAGATCAGCACTTTATAAAATGTGGGAGCAGATTAAATCAGTGTGCAAGGATAGAGAAACTTCCAGCGAAAGTGCCTGTCCTTGGTGCTGAACTCCTGGTGCAGAAACGTTCCAACCTGTACCCTCAAGACTGTTGTCTCCACAACCCTACTTTATCCAGAACCATGTTCAGGCAGGGTTCTGGATAGTCCCCACATATGTAGAACGGAACCTGGGGCAAGTCTACATTCTTGGATACTCAGAGACTATCCAGAACTGCCTGATCATAACCCTAACCCATTCAGGCATAGTACTAGATAAACATAGTTCTGGATATGATAGAGACTATCCAGAACCATACCTGGTATGATAACTGGATATGATTTTGGAAAGTCATATCCAGGTGCTTCAGAAGGGTAGTTATTGTAAAGATTTTATTGTTGAATGTTTCTCAGATGATACCACCCTGAGCGGTCTGCTACCCATCACTAACTGGGATTACAGTGAAGACTTGCAGACCCTGACCTCACATTCAGCTGAGCAACTGTCTTCTGCAGTCATATCAGAGGTACCCGATAGTTAGTTTTCTGTGTCATCCCCAACATTGCAGTACTGTAATTCCTGATTTTTTCACTGTACTTTTATGTTCACTGTTTTCACTGTCACTTCTGTACCATGAACTCATCATTACAGTTAACAAATAATTGCTGGACTTGTTGGCACTGTGAACATATAGTTCAGTATTACAGAACCATAGATTGATCCTGGCCGGCCATCCATCAAAATTAGCAGTCAGCTTTTTCATCAAATTGTTGTATTTCTAGCTACCAGCTGTGTTCTAGCCAGCGCCTGTCTTTCTGTCATTTGACAAAATTTTACTGCAGTTAAAATGACAGCATTTAAAAATCTATCATGTTTCTTGAACAATACTTAATTCTATCAAAACATTGTGTATGTCATCCTGTTACATGTATGCATACTAAATAATGCACTAATTAAAATTGTCTACACTTTGAATACAGCTAAACAAAGTCTTCAACAACATCATCGGTTACCAGAAGTCCGAGACTAAAGTTGATGGCTTCAAAGAAATTGGAGTAACATGCACGTAAGCAACCAATATCAGTACTCCCAAGATCAAACAATATTCAATGCTTCAAGACATCTTTCTTGATTGATTTTCTTAATTGCTCACTCAATCTATTGACACATATATTTCAACTGAAGAATTATGCATTGCAACTGACTGAAAGATGCTACAACATGTATGAATTAACAGTCAATTAAAACAATTCGAAAATTTCTTAATGGTTGTAAATAAAAAAGATAGTATTTTAACTAAATCTATACATCTGCATAAATTTTAGATTATTTATTTATTTTTCATTTCATGTATAGATTTATTTTAATTAAAATATTATATTTCCTGAATGTGTAACTGCCACAAATGTTTCTTAATGCATATTTTGTCAATGGGAAAGCAGTGTTATCAATGTCATTCAAGACCTACCCACATACCAAATATCATCACAATCGAACATTTCCATGCTTATTGAGTTATAATGGTAAAAGTATGCAGAAAGACAATACCTGAAACTGAAAACAATACCTTCATTCATGAGGTAACAAAGCAGTGACTGATAAAAAATCTATACCAGCTTATTGGATTGGTAGTTGTTGGAAATTGTAGTCTGTAGTAATATATATGTTGTACATTGAGACCAATATGACTTTTTAGATTGTAAGTTTCACAGTCAGACTGTTATATACATTGTCAGTAATGCCACATTTTTGATAGTATATAAGAACTTATGCATATGCAGTAATGTAAGTTATCATTTTTATGCAGGAACGCAAAAGCTGTGATGGTTGAATTCCACATCAAAGTAGCTGAAAGTGAGATCACATCTGCTCAGTCTGTCTTCTCAAACAGCATTAAACATGAACGTCTGGGAGAGTTTAACATTGACAAGGACAGGGCTCATATGGACGTTGTAAAGTCACCTGATAAAGGTACCTTGTATGCCTCTACATGCATTGATATATATGTATATATGTATGATATCAAATTTTGCTTACAATAGCTTGAATTATTGATAATTATTTCAACTGTTCTACTTCTGAATCAATAAAATGAATGAAGCTACCAGTATTTCTTTATCACAGGTTCGCCGCCTTGGCTGTACATGTACCGGGTACAGAATTGGATTCTATTCACTCATGCAATAGTGGCCCTTTTACTTACTATAAGTGAGTATACATTCATTTATTTTATGAAGGAAAGATATGGGTTATCCATGAGCATCATAGCAGTTGAAATGTGTTGATCAAAATTTTTCCTCCAACCTAAAAGATCCAAGTTACATTGTGTAGATGCATAAGTATAATTATAATATCATAAAAGTTCATCTGTGTCGGTAGTTACATGTTTAAAGTTAAAACTTTTGATCCAACACAAAGAAATCTCTCACCTAGAGCTTTCGACCAGTCACTCTGGTCTTCCTACAGAGTCTGTAGACTGACCCAGTGAAGCTTGTCACTTCAAACAAAAATTTTGAACTGTGTGATATTGTAAATATTTTTGTTTTTGTTTTTTTGTTTTGGCCCTTGATTTGAATGACATATGGATTGTTGTGTACAGTTACAGTTTGTCCTCATAAAAAATTGGTGACAATTTCTACTTGCCTTGGATATGGGATCCCAGCAATCTGTACAATCATCATACATGTATCTTCACTAACTATGGACACAGTAAGTACCACTAACTTTGTTTCTACTCAATGAATTGCTAGTGATGTCATCAATGAGTATGATATATTTTATGCATTACCTTCCTGCCCAGATGTACCACTAGTTTTATTACCGTTGGCAATAAGGTTATATAATGTATAATGTATAACGTGAAATTCTTTTTACTTCACCCTCCCCTATATTCCTGGTTTGTCACTCCTTGATATGTGCATTGATATATATATATGTGTGTTTTAATGGCCCAGGAGGATTTTTTAAATTCTGGTTATATAACAAGTGTAAGATCTCTCAGATTCTTCTTCTTTTTTATCCTCCCACAGAGACATGGAGACAAAATAGCTTTCATAGCTATTCCTGTCTTGGGCTCGTTGTACCTTGCCTTTTGCTTGTTTGCAGCAAATAAAGGTTTGCATTATCAAAGTAGTACATGTATCAGCATAAAATACGAAGGATTGACACTTTTATTCATGTCATATTTATCCATTGAACCATAAGTGAAATTTCTAATGCTCAGCTCACAGTACTTCTATTGAACTACAACAGCACAATGTTCAACATACACCCTGCAAAGCTATGCTGAATTTTCAGTGCCAGATGATTACAGACAACAATCCATAAAAACAATTCTATAATTGACTAGTACATACACTAGGACTTGAGTACATGTATTATCATAATTGTAGCCTGGATGCCAGACCAAAAGTGTCAGAGGCAACATGTGCCACACCCCAGTGTTGGTAGTCCCTACCCCGAGTTAGATGCAAAGAATTCTGATACTTAGATGCACCAGTGCAACCACAGAAATAAATTGGGTACAAAGTTCCACATTAGGGTGCATATGCACCCAGTATTTCGAGCCCTGGTGCAATGTAGCCTCCTGCCGCTGTGCCATGTGCTGGTGTACGCAGAGGGGCGGTTATACGACAGATACAGATGATCTCCCCCCACCCCACCCCCGCCTTCAGAATAAGCGTCTTGTGCTATAAGTCTTGCAAGTAGGCTAGTACTATTGTTGCTTGGATATCAAGTAGTTTGAGCATGCTGTACAAATGTATGCTGTCTGACTGTTTTTCTTCGGAAATCATTGCAGTATCCGGACAAGTTCTTTCATACTTTGGAATTGTCCTGAATTATGCAAGTGTCTTCATCCTGACAGGTTATAATGCTACTACAGGTGGGTAAACAATGGATGTTTTGTGCAGAATTCAAAATACCATCTATTAATTATACAGGTTAATGTTTGAATGATTGGAGATGTGCAAATTTATCATGGGCATTTGAGTCTACACAATGTCTGATTTTTGATAGCTCTACAGATTTTCACCACCAGTAGAACGCCTTGTTATATTGAACATTATTGTAAACTCATTAGCAAGTGGCACAAATAATAGCATAGCAGTCATATTATCATCGTACATGTACATGTATGGTGCATGCATAAGTTGCCTAAGGCTAGTAGTACATATAGTCCAAACTTACTTCAAACAGTTTATAATAGCAGACTGTTGTTCACATGAAAACATAAAACAATGTTGATATTTCTTTGTGTAATTGTAAATTTTACAATTACACACAGAAACATCAACATTATTTTATGATGAACCATTGATTTTGACCTTATGTGCATCAGTTCAAATGTGTTAAGACATATTGAACCTTAAGGCCACACCAATTTAATTTCTTGGTTAACGGATTTTTCTAGAGCGGACCGGAGAAAAAAAATAAAAACAGGCCTAGGCATCCTATTATGGCCCAAAATGGTACGATAGGAGCCATGAAGTCAACACACCAGGCTGGTTCAAAGTTTTAACAATGAATTTTGAACTTTTAATGATACCATTGCATTGAAAGATGGAATAACTGTAACAACTAGGATGAAATGGACTGTTTTCAACTGTTCAGGGCAAAATATGAGCATTTTGCAGTTGATTCTGAATTTTTATTTTTATTTGCAAATCAGAAAAACATGAAGCGGCGAATCCGTTAACCAAGAAATTAAATTGGTGTGGCCTAAGTACTCTAATATCATTTACTGACTACTGAATTTTGCCTTTTTATACAATATTGTGTTGTCTTGGCAGCTTCGCATATATTCATTTTAAACATCATTATTTTTTTTCTCTGACAATATTGATTTTGTTCTGTAGACAATACACAGCAATGCAGGCAGGGCCCTACTGCTAGTGTTCCTTTTGTTTGTACTACATGTATCCTGGCTAGCAATTGCTTACTGCAGTATGTCCTGAGGGCAGGAGAGAAAGGTGACAACTCTTTGACTTTATGCTTATTAATAATCTAAACAGTTCACACTATCTACAGACATTATTATATACATCATATATTACTTTGTGCATTACTTAGTGTATTCCATATCACACAAGGTACCAGCCCAACCTGTGGGAGGGCTGGGACTGAGGGTGATGTGGAATAAGGTCCGTGGCAGAACACAGTTTTCGCCCTATGGGGATTCCTATAGTTAAGCACCCCAAGGTGACTCACTTCGACGCGGTAAAAATTATAGTAGGGTGCACTAGAGAAACACGCCGCCTACTAATATGCTGAAGTCGCTATAATCTACAACTGAAAACAAAAAAAGTTATCTTTTTTTAACACCATGACAACCACTTTGATTTGGCCCTCTACAGAGGTCAACGGAACTGCAGCCAGCTCACCCCGGAACGCGGTTGTAAAAATGCCTCACATTTATACACGAACAGTAAATCTTCACAGTCTAAATCACACGGTGTACAAGCCGATACCTTTCTATACCTCAAAGTGCAGTTTACTCTTGGCTACCTCTCACATAAGTCGCTTTAGCCAGGATTCATGTGTTTTGTCTGCACTATTTTCTATACCCGCGTCATTGACCCCGGAGGTCGCCCATTAATACTGTGTTCTGCAGCCTAATACACCATGACGTTGTTGTATTTTTATTCATGTCATACCCACCTGAGAAAACACACATTTTAATGAAGTGGTGCCAGGTGCTGCTGATGATTGAGTACAATTTTAAACATAATTATACATGCAATTGATGAGCTGTACATAAAGCTATGTACATGTACTATGCAAAGTATACATGTATTTCTAGACCAAGTTATAAGGACCAAAAGAAATAGCCAAAGATATTATTCAAAAACTCTGTTGTAATATCATTGATATTGAACATCATTAACTCCCCACTCTACATTTCTGGATCCTGAAGGACAAAACAACTGCCTGCAGACTGTTGATGTCCAGAAGAGTTGAGACAACCCACAAACTCTGTCGCCATATGGGACTGAAGCCACCAATTAGCAAATCAAATAGACACAAACAAGTGCTTTTATAAAAAGCTGTCGTTTGCCGCCGTATTGTTTTTGCACAACAAAATCGTATGCAAAAAAATGTTGTTTTTTTTCCTTTGAATAAAGTGATGATAAGTGATTGAAATCTAGCTATGCTATACTATATACACATGGATTGTCACTATTGGCATGTAGATAGTTTAGGAAAAGATAACCAGAATTGATGCTCATTGGGAGCTAGTAACTATCAAATCTGAAATAGAAAGATTTTTTTTATCTGATGTAAGGAGCAATTGATTTCAATTGTGCATGTTTTTTTTTTATATTGACAGCTTGTCAATGGCCATGCTGCATGTAATATATTACCCATACAGCAAGAATGTTAATCCCCAAGAATGCAATATCAGGCAACACTACTTGCCCATATAAGAACAATAAGTAATAACAACTAGTTTTTGAATGTTAAAAAGCAAAACAACAGATGTTAAAAAGAAAATTTAAAAAAACTCATACGGAGTTGAACAATTAGTTTTTGAGTGTTAAAAGCAAAACAGCGACTGTTAAAAAGAAAATTTAACTAGAGAGGCCGACATTTGCTTGGGAGCAAATACAGCATATTTCAGTCCATCTCCCTCCCACGGGGGGACTATTCCAAAATAGTGGACTATTCCAAACTTACCCCAGTGTTAAACTGGCAGGTAACCCGCAATGGAACACGTGTTCAATGGCCAATGGCAGATGGAACGGGACATTCTTTAAATAGAACATGGAACGGGTATGGCACTTTTGGCCCTTTTTTTGGTGAAAATAGCCATTTAAGTCCCCCAAATGAGTCATTTGGAAGTGGTGTATGCCAAATATGTGACTGCTATTCTGTAGACACATGTTCAAGGTACCCTTATACCAAATTTCAGATCATTTGGTTGTAAAACCAGGGCTCAGGATCCAAAAATTCATATTTTGGCAAAAAATGCCCCAAAAAACCTTCATAAAAATTTTTCAAAGGCATGTATCAAAAAAATGGAAAAAACGCCTGGGGGTATTGGCCCACTCTACCTCCATGCCAAATTTCAAGTCATTTGGCTGAATGATGGCGGAGTTGAATCCCTTTGACTGTTTGGCAGGAGGAGGAGAAGAAGAAACATGAGAGAACACAATATATTTCATCCATACCATGGTATGGACTGAAATATAAAAAAGTTCCTCTCCGGGGATCAAATTTTTCCAGAGATAGTGGTAATGTTTTGACAGAATATATGTGTGTGTATTGTATTGATTTTTATCCAAATCTAAGATGTAAAAGATTATGAAAAGCTTACAAAGATTTTTACAGTATCAAAGTTGTTTATCATCATCAACAAGTGAAGTATGATTTGATATTCCATTTTTTCATCAGATAAGCAAATTATGCAATTAATCAATTTAATGAAAGATTCTTATTCTGATCAAAGATTGCAAATATTTATTACTGTATAAGTGGTCAGATATTAGAGGCATGAAACAATGGTTGGAAGCTTACTGAGCATATAGAACATGGTTGGGTAAAGAGGATGAAAACAAATTCTTCATCAATAAAAAAAGTCCATAAACTTACAGCGCTAACCTTAAAATGATAGGCTCTTTTAGCTTCATATACTGTATAATTATATTCAATTGTTATGTTACCATGCTGCAATTGTTTTAGCTATATATTTGTAACGTTATACATGTACTTGTATCAAATGTTACCCTCACTTGTGTATGCAGTTTGATTGTCTTATTGAGACATGAAACCCATAGTTGCTAATCATACACAAGCTTTGTACATGTGCCTGTAGTTTTAAGAATGTTTAATAAAAAGCTCATGGTGATGTTGATAGCCTGCCTTTTTCTTGGTGCATATGGAATAATGTTACACTATTTCTCAGGAAGTTATTTAACACCAAATAATGTAAATCATTTACACAATCGAACTGTTGCTAAACTCATGATCATTACGTTGCCACATATAAGTTAACTGAAAACAAATTATCATTTGCCTTAGTAAATGAATTGTCTGAAGTCTATTGACCACTGAAGGGTCAGTTGAAACAAACCTGTGGCTGATTGGGAGAAAAAAGAGACTTAAACAGTCCCAGTTGTCACCGAATCCTCGCTCTTTAGTGTTTTGGGTCTCTTGGGTGTAACTTTGTTGACAGAAGAACAAAACGTACTTCGAATGTGCTGCCCTTATTTGGCATTGATTATGATGTCACAATAATTTGGGCCAATCAGCATCGGGCTTTTATGATGTCTTTCCCTTGACAAAATGACACCTATAATTTGACTTACTTGTGATAAAACGATTGCGTACGATCCACACACGTACGCAAAGCATGAGCAAAATAATCCGCTAGAGGTCCTCTCTAACAGGTAGATTAAAGACCGCAGTGAGGAAACGTCCGATTGGTCCAAAGTTTGTGAAGCTTGCCGGCCGTTGCCAGGCAACGCGTGTGACGACACGAAAATGACGTAACAAAATGGCGACGGGCTAATGTTGCAAGCCAGTTGCCGTGCGCACGGCTTGGGCTGTTTTTCTCAAGTTTCCGGCTTTTAGAAGTGGAACTAATTCGCCCCTGAGCATGGAGTGGGACCTGGAAGGCTACGCTATAGGTATGCTAGTTGAGTTTTTCTTAATTTTGGTTATGACGCACAGATTTTAAAGCCTATTTTTGAGACAAAAATGTGCTCAAATTTCCTCGTCTTTCGCAGCTCAGGGTGGAGGGCGACAACTTGCCTTCCTCAAAATATCGCAATATCTGTACTGCCTGTTGCAATTTGTCATTCGGTCAAGCTATAACTGAAAGTCCTTAGTCTCTAGGTCACGCAAATGCTGAATTTTCTAAGTCTCCGCCAGCTCAAGTTGTCAAATTACTATGGGATCATCACCGTATGTCATCGGTAAACATTTCTACTAACTTCAGCCGCTAGGGGTCCTCAGTGACACGTGCAGTGTTGAAGTTACACATGCTAAGACACAGACTTTCTCCGTTTTATCAGGATCTCGGCCTTCCCTGCCCGAGTTTGGAGAGTTGCTAGAAGACGTGACGTTTGTGGACTATTTCAACATCTTCCTAAGTCTACCAGTAAGTAATTTATTAATGTGTGTAGAAACATCAGATAGATCTTTAGACTAGACATTTTTACGTCATTATAACCACCTGTTATAACTGTGTATTCCCCAGATATTACTAGCCTCCAGGCAAGAGTTCAAAATTAAGTTTGAAATAAAATTTTATAACTTTCTCCCTGTTGAAGTGGCTACTTGGAGCCAAATTTGCATGGACCGAGAGAAAAACATTGTAATAGCTTCAACTCATTGATTATGAGTACGAATATAGATGGATACAGTGTGTATTTTAGTCCTGCCAATGGCTAGAGTTTTGACTCTTGAAATATGATTGTTACTTTTTCTTTGTACAATGGTGTATTTCCAGAATTTGACTGTATTATAACAGTTTTTCTGTTTCCTCAGATATTTGGACAGAGTTTGTTTTATCGACGGTCTGTTAAGAAGTTTGAGCTGCACCCATCCATTAACAAGGCCATCTATGTGAGTACACAATACTACAAGCCAAGTCTTTCATTTCCGCATTATTCTCTTTCTGGAAAAATCAAAAATTTGTTCAAGAACAACTTCCCTGAAACTAAAAGCAGTAAACACAAAAGTTGTTAAAAGTTTACACAGATTCACCCCATAAAACTGTAGATAGTGGGATGGCAAATGCCTCTAGTGTTGGAGCAATAATTGTTCAATATCTACTCCTTATTACTAACTTTCAGTTTCTTATATCAGTTTAGATATTATTAAGTACATTTGAAGAAGGGGCTGAAGCATTAGATATTTCCTTCTCATGATTTACATTATATGTTATGACAAGATTAGGCATGTTTCCTTTTTTTTGCATGCTACTTACACCAGCTTTTCTTGATGTCCTTTTATAAAACTGATTAATATATTGAATAATACCTTTGCTTGGAGAGTACAGCTGAGATTTAAATAGTTGCTACAATCTACCTGATATCACTGAGTGACCCCCCCTCCCCCCTGTCAGGTCCTGGACCGTCAGAAGCTGCACAGTTGGGTGATCCGTGAGCGTTTCTCCCTCTTCCTGACCTCTGACCTGTACGTGGAGTACCTCCTGAACAAGAGACTAAAACAGACCACAGTACACCTCAGTCCTAGTGACAGGGACGGCAGCAGTAAGTCAGTCTGTGTTTGTTTGTTTGTTTGTTTTTGTTTGTTCCTTAAACCTTGCACCTATTTGTGGAGTACCCCCTGAACAAGATACCAACTTGGTAATTTACTAACTTAAAGTTGATTTCTATGTTTATTTCAATAAATGTTACTGATTTTCTATTAATATCTATTATATTATGCGATGTGTTAGTGTTTTATGATATTGTTGGTATGGTGGCCTTGAAAAAGTGTTACCATCCGCTGTGTGGTAGATTGTTATAGATTATATAATGAAATAATAAATAGATAAAGATGTGTAAAGTTGATGAAGTTCTGTTATTTGAGACATTTTTTGACATTTTTCTTTCAATTTGCTTTTGGTGTCATGAAATGGTTTTTAGAAAGATTTCTAAATTGAAAATCTTGAACAATTTCTTTATTCAATGCTCTACATTTCTTTTGTCCCTACCAGAAGATAAGCATGTGCGTAGCCTGGGTGACATGTTACGTCGGGCGCTGAAGAAGGTTCGCGGCATGAGGCGTTTCCGTAAGTCGCTTGCCGGCACCCCTGGACAGAGCTACCTGGCCTTCTGGTTGGATGCTGAGGCGTACCGACGCCAGCCACGTGCCACGAAGAGAAGGACTCTTCTACGAGACATCATCAGGAAGTATTTCTGTAATGGTGCAGTCTTAGAGATGCCTCCTGCCATTCAACTTCAAGTCTTACAAGGTAATGTGTCTCTGTTTTGTGCTTATAGCATTATACACAGTATATACATGTATTAGGCTCAAAATTGTGAAACAGAACCATTACACTTTGTCTTGCTCCAAAAAAAGAATTTCGTATTGTTTCTAATGCTTGGATAAAAATGCTACAATAGGAGGGCCTTCTTGTTAGGAGAACCAAACTATATGGTACTGTACATCTTCTAAAGAATGCATTTGTTTGTAGGTAAATGTTCTAGAACATTAACTGTGATAAACCTTACAGTTTCTGCAGCACCCTTTAAGAAGAACAAGTTTTTCCTTAAAAGAATCGAAAAGACTTGCTTTCTTGATTACAAGTTGCTGGACCAGGTATAAAATTGTATTCAACGCATGCTGTCATTTTAGTTGCCTGTAAGTTGAATCCGGTCTTACAGGTTTTGTTTGTTTTCTGTCCAGCTGGTGTTGATGAGAAGTTGACGTTACAAGCAGAGTTCACTGCAGGCTGCCCCTCCCCCCACCTGTTGTCTGGTGTTCAACAGGTGGTTCTAGACACCATACAGTCCTACTGGCTACCTCGCTACATGGGCTGGTGCAGGGCCAGGTAAGGCTGGTTAGTGTTTGTTTGTGTACAACAGGTGGTTCTAGACACCATACAGTCCTACTGGTTACCTCGCTACATGGGCTGGTGCAGGGCCAGGTAAGGCTGGTTAGTGTTTGTTTGTTTGTTTGTTTGTTTGTTTGTGTACAACAGACTGTTCTAGACACCATACAGTCCTACTGGCTACCTCGGTACATGGGCTTGTGCAGGGCCAGGTAAGGCTGGTTAGTGTTTGTTTGTTTGTTTGTTTGTTTGTGTACAACAGGTGGTTCTAGACACCATCCAGTCCTACTGGTTACCTCGGTACATGGGCTGGTGCAGGGCCAGGTAATACTGGTTGTACCACCTGTTAAATAGTGATACATGCCATATGATGTACCTTATAAAAATGTTTGCAACAAGAATTCAGAGATCTCAGACCTCCTTGAATATTTAGATATTATGGGATGGTGACTGTGTCCTCTTCTGATTCACTATGGTGTCTACAAGTCTTTCTTTATCGTGCAAGGGAAGCAACCACCAGTTGTCAACTGGTGGTGGAGGTCATGTAATGAAAATCACCTGATCACTACCAGATATAGATGTGATTAATGACTTTCTCCCTCTGTGACAGACTGAACCCAACCATATCCATTACAACCTAACCTAAGAGCCATGTGGAAACACACACAAACACACACACAGACATACCCAAAACAATACTTCCATTTTCCAAAAAGGTAATAAGGTTATTTTGTGCTACTGCACACATGTAGGTACACTGAATCCATACTGAAGCCAGGACAGTTTTTCATACTGGATGAAGACTATGAGGATGATGATATCGTGTTAGCTCAGACTGCGAGCATCTCTAACATCACAGTGGCTGGACTGGTGCAGCTGGCCACGTCTCCGACCGCTGGCGGCGCGATGGAAATAGCGTCAACGACGTCACTGGGTCGCCGGGAATCGGACAGCGCAGTGGCAAAGGATGATGGGAAACTATCACAAGAAGAAGGTGATGTTTCAGCCATTTGTTTGTTCACTAAGTTCTCAAATTAGCCTTCTGGCTGCTTTTCATTGAGATTGTAAGGGTCAGAAAAAATATATATGTATGAATGAATTAAAGGCATCCAATGGTAATTTCTGGATGGCAAAACAGAAAATATTTTGGATGAAGAAATCTGTCTGATATTGACATTTACTGCCTCACAGATATCAGTATTCTGTGGGATAAATCAACTTACTACATGTACCTTAAAAGAATTACCATAAAATTGACTTTTAAAATCCAATTATGCCACCCCGAAATTACATTGGATGCATCTAACACTACAAAATTTGGTTGCACCGGCTAGCTAAGGGTATAAACATTATCAAGTACTATTAGACATTTTATCTCATTTCTGTAGTGTCTGCCCCAACGAGCATTTCTGAAGAAAAAGAGGCTATAGTAGACTCTCCTGCCATGACACCACCTGTAGTCAGAATAGTGGAGCCAGACGGCACTGTTACCCAGACTAGCTCAGAGCCTCAGGAGGCTGGCAGCCAGGCTAAGTTACAGCCTCAGAGGACTGGTAGCCAGGCTAAAGTAGAGGCAGTGAAGACTAAGAAACAAGCTCAGGCGGATGAAGAGAAAGCTCAACAGGAAGCTATGGAAAGGAAAAGACAGGTAGATGGTGGGCTGTATTGGGGTTTAATTAGTGTCTAGTGCTTTAGTAGTTTCAGTTGGTATCGTTACCATTTCAGGATCAGAACATAAACAAAAAAGGGCTTGAATCCCAGTCTAAGACATCCCAGTCTATATGTAGGTGGGGTTGTGTGGTTTAATGGCAGGGTGTTTGGCCCAGAACCTAGAGGTACATTTTTGTACTTGGTTCGAATCCTGTCATTATACCAATCTTGTATCCTTGGGAAAGGCACTTTGCACGACTTTCTTTACTTTACCCAGGTGTAAAATGGGTACCTGACTTTGGTTTGAGAGGTAAAAGGTAGTGGAAGGAGAGGGATAATTTGCGAAAAGTGCCTTTCCCAAGGGTACAAGATAGGTGACATAGCAGGATTCAAACCTGGGACCTCTCGGTTCCGAGCCGAACAGTCTGCCATTGCACCACCCATCCCCACATTGTCACACAAAGGATTTTTTGGCAGTATCTCAAGAGTGGAGCGTTTAAGTTTAATGGTATTTTTTTTTCTCTGCCAGGTGAAGCAGGCTCTCCACCAGTTGAAGACAAAGTACCCGATGCGGCTGACACCCAAGGCCCTGTCCATGCTGCAGAGACAAGAGCAACTTAAGAAAGCTGAGAGTCTTAAAGAACGTAGAAGTAAGGACAGAAGCAGTTCTACAATACAGCAGCTCAGCTGGAAGAAGGACCAAAAACGGCGAGGGAGAAGACAAGAGGTGTTTGCTGTGAAGCCAAGAACACCATTAATAGGTACATATACATATTACATGTATATAATATTATTCAGCATCTGTGTTTGATTTCAAAATTGTTGAAGGCTTGTCTTTAAAAACTCTGAAATGCCACATTGTTTATTTATTTATTTATTCATTTTTGGCTGGAAATGCAGCAAAGGCTGCCAACTAGCTTGGGGCTAGTCTTGGAAAAACAAGTTGTTAAGGAAACAAAGTTTCATTTTTATGCTTTAATTTATATGTGCATCATACATGTACAATAGTTTATCAAGACAGGAAAAAATGTATGATATATCTATTTCTTATTTCAACAGACAAGGATAGTTACCGCAAACCCAAGACCGGCAAAACCGCCACACCACGTCTGCCTATCAGAGACAAGCTATCATCTAAGACTCCTGCTACGACAAAGGACATCAAGAACAAGATTGAGTCCATCAGCCAAGGAGACACTTGTCCTTTCCATCTTCCACACATCTCCGGTGGCCCCACCCTCCCCCAGCCAACATCTTACAGCTTGTACTCTCTTTACAAGGAACAACAAGAAGTTTTCCTAAGAAGCAACAAGTTTCTTTTCCTAGCCCTCGAGTCAGACAGACTAGCGGGAGACCCATTTTACTCCTCTCTCGATAAGAAGGGTTTGGAGAAGGAGAAGAGTGTCTTTAAGTTCTGGCAGGCAGCACAGGTCAAGTCAAGTCAAGTCAATCTTTATTGCACAACAATTGTAACTGGTACAATGGATGGCAAACTCTTCAGTACTACATATCTAGCTAACATCCACTCTTACGTCTACAGTGACTACAAGTTTTATATATCGAAAATAACATACTATTTCAAAAAGGTAATATAGTACATGTATGTATATGGAGCATGGCTTACATGATCATGTACATGTCTTGAGTTCTACATATGACTGTACAAACTAGAGTGTACATCAGTTGGCAGATATAATATGATTTCTTTTATCTAAAGCTTTGGATATATACTGGCCTATGTACAGGGAAGTTTCGTCGGAACATGACATGAGTAGAGTAAAAGTATCTGAGATTGTTTTAGGTAATGTTATATGTGCCTTGTTGGTGATCGCATTCATAAGTGTTTCTCTTTCTTCAATGTAACAGGAGTTACTGAATCTTGAGATGACGTTTTCGTCGGGGGATAAGTCAGTTTGGTATGAGAAGAGTAGGAGGCTGGTGGAGACACACATGAGACCAGGGTTGTCAGAGTACACTGCTGTAGGACCGGGGTTAGGGGAGGTACTGAGAACCACTCCTCCTTCTGCACTGTGGTGTGTGTATCTACAACAGGCACAGATCAACATCACTACGGTGAGGATGTCACTTTAACTTTGTACTTTAATTTTAAATTTGCCCAGTGGAAGGGCCAACAAACAAACCTTAATTCAGTTGTTTTGTGGGGAGGTTTTCACGGTTGAAAGAACTCTATAGTACAGTAGTCATCAGTATAGCTTGTCGCCAGTCCACTCCAACCAGTTCTGCGCAGCTTCATTGGCCTCCTGGAGATCTGAGTCTGTGCAGGTAGGACCAAGGCTGCAACCGTGCAGCATGGTGCTGAATAGTCTGGGGAGTACAGTAATCAACTGGAAATGCATATTGACTGTGTTACAACTTTGACACAATATATGTCACATTTTTTCATCTTTCCATTCTTAAAGCATGTACCTTTGACTTGAATGTCATATCTATAGTTTTTGGAAAGCAAAAAGTTCATATCCACAAGGCACCCAGGATAAAAAAACTCACATATCTTTCCTCTCTGACAGTGTCTTGCCAAGAGTTGGGAGGAGTTTTGTGATGAGGACATAGACAACTTTCAACAGGCAGTGGTAAGGTTAGCTTATTCTGTAGTTGTATGAGATGTTTTCCCTGTCCTTGGTGCTGAAACTTGTGTACGATAGTTGTATCAGGCAAAAACTCAAACACTGAAACTAGTTTTGTCAACAAGACGAAGAAAACTTTCAACTGGCAATGGTTAGGTTATATTACATTGGTCACGTACTTAGCTTATTCTGTAGTTGTATGAGATGTGTACTTCACTGTCCTTGGTGCTGAAACTTGCATTATTGTTTGAAGTAAAATCTCTAACACTGAAATTATGGTTTGTGCAGAATGATTGTACTGAACTAATAAAAAATTCATTAAGGTTACTAATTTAGAACCACTCTTCATAACAGACAGTAATGATATGCAGTAACACACCACACCCTTGCATACATTACCGCAGTCTGTTCGCCAAAGACGAGTCGGCGTGGGAACAAGCGACTATCTCCCGCTACTCCGTACATCGTCCTTTGGAATGTCAGGACTTCCCGCCAGAAAAAGCAGCACCCAGATTTTTGCCAAGAAACAGTCGACACCTCCTCTACCCGGGGAAGGCACCCTTAAAGTGGAGAAGGAACCTCCTGGTCTTAAACAACGGAAGGAAAAAGCTGTGAATCTGGCTGACCAGGTATCAAGAAGTGAGTATGATATGTAATATATAGAGTGTTTTAAATACATTTTATCTCCCACTGCCCCTGTAATGATCAGGGAAGAAAAGGGCAATTTAAAGAAGGCTTAAACCAAAACTTACCACAACTTCCAAACTTCCTGTTAACCTCTCAAAACCCACTCATTGCAGAAATAGTGGGACACTTTGTCTTCCACAGCTTTCAAAAAACAAATCAAACCTAAAGAGTTTAGATTGTATTCTGAATAGATTAGTCACTTGCTCTGAATAGAATAGTCGTTGCTTGTTTCACTTGTATGTATGTCGTATGCATTGTATGTTACAATTAGCCCTCGGGCATGAATTTGCAAGAAAAATTGTAATTTTGTCTGAAAGAAGAATGTAATCTTTGGCCTGTGCTTGTAATGTAGGTCTGCACTAGACTAATGTATTTGTATATCACTGAAAATTTTGAAGGCCAATACAGAAATCGCTGTTTTTGTGTACATCATATAACAAGTTACATGCAAATTATTTTGAAGCCAAATTTAAATTGGTAGCCGAATCAATGCCCATGCAGATGTCATCCATAAAATTAAATCAGTGTGGCCTTAGTAATAAAAAAATGTCAAATGCTAGAAAACACTGTATCACTTATCCTTGTCCTGTATCATAAACCAGGTGATGAAATGTCTTGGTCCTTATCCATTTCTTCAGCAATAGACACACAGGAGATGGAAGACTTAAGTGACTACTTTGAGGAGTCTGATGATGATCTGTCACTCAAAGGAGAGAAGACACTACCTGCTCGAAGATGTGAGAAAGTTTCTCCATTGTATGATACTTAAAGCTTTGTGGCATCATGTGGCATTGATAATGTGTTCAAACACTGATGAGGACGGATTTGGTGTTGCCTATGTACCAAGATCTGTGCATTTGCCACCAAGAATCATACAATTTTTAAAAGGCGTTGTCTGAAAAGTATGACAGAAAAGTTGGCAAGAAAGAACATTTGGTGCAAACACAAATCTTTTGTTTCATTTGAGTTTTTTAAGCACATAAAAATGCTATCTCCACACCCTCACAGAGGTTTAGAAGTAAAATATACTACAGATAGATGCCAGCAAACCTGTCTATGTACAAAATTTGATTTCAATATCTGCAACTTGTAGTACTGGTGTTTCTATTATAGGACTGGTATGACTTGAATGTCATACCTATAGTTTTTGGAAAGCAAACAGTTCATAATCACCCACCCTGTATAAAACTCACTCACATATTTTTCCTTAATTTAATTTTTGTACAGTGTCATGTATCTGTACTTGTACTTGACGTTATGTACTTTTGAATTGACCTTATGCACTTTTGAGTTGACTTTTATGTACCAATTATGTTGTTTACCACTTTAACATTGTATTAAGTTCTTTATTTGATGTCTGCAGTATGACCTTTGATTTGACTTGCATTTATGTTTATGTGATTTTTGAACTTCTTACTTATGTTTTTGTGACTTCTGGTGTCTCATAATCCCATATGGGCTGGGGGACAATAAGTCACAAGACACAATTTATTATAATAAAATACATTCATTCATTCATTGTAGTACCGGCGTTTCCAAAGAAAGTGGACTACAAGCAGCTGGCTGCCCAGAGTGCACGGGAGTACCCTAACAAGTGGTACCGCCCTGTACAGAAGTGTGAGGTTCAGGGACCGGCTAACTCCAAGATGCCGTTTTTCTTCCGCTCTGTCAAGAAACATGGAGTCATCTTGCCTCCACCAAGCAAACCCAAGTGAGTGCTGAAAAAAACTACTGTACATTATTTAAGCAACTTGGTTGCAGCTGCCTACAATCTTTGGTTGCCTGATTTTAGAAGTCACTGAGAAGATGGAACTTCATTTACTTGTCATTGAGATAAAATTTGTTCAGAAATTTGCTGAGTGAAAACAGTGTGATTTGCAACAGAATCTGATACTTTACAGAATGCGCTCATTTTTGTTGACAGAATTTTTTAACAATCACAATGTAGTCTCTCATTTTGCATTGCTCTGAATCTATCAGCATCAATTTTGGACTTTTTTGGCAGCCTTCTCTATGATTCTATGTTTTCCTAGTATAGGCTGCGATTTTTTTTCATGCAGAAGGAGGAAAATGAAAGAAATTTTGACCACTACTAGGGAAATGAAGAATCACCAAAAAGGCCACAAAAAAAAAAAAACAAGATGTTACCTCTCTACCTTGAGAGTATTTGAAAATTTGTATGTGAGTTGAACATCATGCCTCGTTTTGTTGTAGGAACTATGCAGAGGTCCTACGGAACAGCGTACATCTGGAGTACTTCAAGCGTTTCCTGATGTCGGAGGGGTCGGAGGCACCGCTGCTGTTCTGGATCGCGGTGGAAAACATGAGAGTCCACAGCAAGGACAACAGGGAGAAACAGGCCAAGGCAATACAGATCGTCAGGAGGTACTTCAGCAAAACTGCTGGGAAAGGTGAGTCAAACATATTGTTTTTGCTCAGTTTCTTCTTCCTCTTCTTCTTCTCCAAACAGTGACCTCTGACCTGAACCAATGTTGTGTCTGTTGCCATGGTAACTAGTGTTGGGTTACATCATGTTGTAATTTGATAGCAGGAGGGATTTAGACTCCTGTCTGACCATATATATGAATGCATAATGTTTACCTATGCAAAGGTAAACATTATGCATTTGCTTGGCAAATGTTACCTTTCTAGTTACCTTAAAGTTTATAGTTTACCTTCACAGAAGGAAAACATACTGGTTTTGCTCTGTTTCTTATTCTTGTTCTTCTTTGTTTTTCTTTCTCTTCTTCTTCAAACAAAAAAGGTCAATGACTTAACAAACAAACAAATAAACAAGGTAGTAGTTTGTTCAGCTAGACCCTCCCGTTGTGCAGTTAAACATTATGCATTTGCTTTGCAAACGTCACCTTTCTAGTTGTTTTTGAAGTCTGCTACTAGTAATGTTGTGTGTTCAACTACCATAATATTTCTAAGTAAGTGCTAAGCAGAGAAAGCAGTATGTTGAATAACGCCTACCTGTTCCCACAGGTGTTGCCCTACAGTGTGATGCGCAGGTGATCAGGGACATTGCTAAGATGGGCAGCATCACTCCTGCCATGTTACTGTCTGCTCAGGCTGCTGTGGCAAAGTCACTCGGCGACCGCTGGTAAACGATTATTATGATTTCTCAATACAATGATTCCATAGCTTCACTCAATAGAACGATTCCATAGCTTTGCTCAATAGAATGATTCCATTGTTCCGTCTACATCAAAAAGTGAAAATGAACAATAAAGAAATATTTAGATCTTCTGCAATATCCTTTTGTAAACCCCTTCTTTATCATGCAAGGGAAACAAGCTGTCAAGGAGGTCATGTAATGAAAAACACGTGTTAAAACAGCGAGCACTACCAGATGACATATCCATTACAATCTAACATAAGGACCATGTGAAAACTAAGGACCATGTGGACACATACGGACACATACACACACAGACACAGACACATATGCACACATACACACAGACACACACGGACACATACACACACAGACACACACGGACACATACACATACACAGACACACGCACACATACACACACATACATACACACACACAGAAATACTGAAAACAATACCTCAAACAATACCAATTTTCATGGTTGGTAATAATAAAAACATCTACAAACCTGTCATTTTCCGTCTCTCTATCGGTTCGCACTCAGGTATGAGAAGTACAGAGACTGTTTCCCAGATGACAGCACCACAGACCTACAGGACGAGGAGCAGGAGGAAGCTGACTCACCTGAGGAGAAATCCAAACCCAAAGTCATCAGCCTGAAAGCAAAAACAGTCAGTTTCCTGTCTTTTCTCCCTTTTAAAAAATCAAACATTTAGGTGAAAAATGTCCAACTATAGAAGCATTACAAGGCTGTAGTAAGGTCTGGGGGATTGGAAAAAAGTGAAGCAATAGTAACGATTGTTTGGAACTAGTATGGAAAACTAACAGCATTCCAGTACTAGGGACAGGGATAGCATTTCAGTACTAGGGACAGGGATAGCATTTCAGTACTAGGGACAGGGATAGCATTTCAGTACTAGGGACAGGGATAGTATTTCAGTACTAGGGACAGGGATAGCATTTCAGCACTAGGGACAGGGATAGCATTTCAGCACTAGGGATAGGGATAGCATTTCAGTACAAGGGATAGGGGTAGCATTTCAGTACTAGGGACAGGGATAGCATTTCAGTACTAGGGACAGGGATGGCATTTCAGCACTAGGGACAGGTATAGCATTTCAGCACTAGGGACAGGGATAGCATTTCAGTACTAGGGACAGGGATAGCATTTCAGTACTAGGGACAGGGATAGCATTTCAGTACTTAGGGCAGGGATAGCATTTCAGTACTAGGGACAGGGATGGCATTTCAGTACTAGGGACATGGATAGCATTTCAGCATTAGGAATAGGGATAGCATTTCAGCACTAGGGAAAACATTTCAGTACTAGGGACAGGGATAGCATTTCAGTACTTAGGGCAGGGATAGCATTTCAGTACTAGAGACAGGGATAGCATTTCAGTACTTAGGGCAGGGATAGCATTTCAGTACTAGGGACAGGGATAGCATTTCAGTACTAGGGACAGGGACAGCATTTCAGAACTAGGGACAGGGACAGCATTTCAGTGCGTGGGACTGGAAAGTATTTCAGTAATAGGGACAGGAATAGCATTTCAGTACTGGGGACATGGATAGCATTTCAGCACTAGGGACAGGTACTAGGGGCAGGGATAGCATTCAGTACTAGGGACAGGGATAGCATTTCAGCACTAGGGACAGGGATAGCATTTCAGTACTAAACAGAAATTTGACTATACTATTGTGTTAACTCTTTCCCTTGTCCAGAGAGCCATCTGTTTCGCTATTGTTCGCTCCATCATTGCCCTGAGACAAGCCTTACACAGAAGACTACAGAGTCAGGAGTTTGAAGACTATCTCAGAGCTGAGAGCTTCAGGCCCAATTCTGCAAGTAAGAAGATTTTCATTCAATAAAATCAAATGTAACCTAAAACCAACAGATATTTTTTAAATTCTTTTTATGAAGGCAGCTTTGGAAAAAGCCAAAATGTGTATTTTGTCTGGATAGTATCCCTGTTGAAACTCATCAGCCAATGGAGCCTTTTGTTCAAGAGAGATTTTCAACTCATCAAAAAAATAGCATTTACACAAGATTTTATATTTCATGGAGGTCTTATGTCTCTGAATTCTTGCTAAAAATGGTGAATTTGAAGAGATCTAATAAATGCAATATCAGTCATCCACACTTCAGATATATCCAGGTGCTCAAGACATTCTTCAGAAAGCATTCATAATAAGAGTTGACATCACATATAGCTTACAGCTTGATGCTTCATGTATGTGACTGTATGTCTGTATTGTACCTCAGCTGTAGTTTTTTTGTTTCCCTCCGTAGACATCCAAACTCCCAACCAGCCAAAGATTAAGGATTTTGAGGCCCACGACTTTCTGGACTCTGAAGAGAAGGAGAAGAAACCTCGTCTGACAAGACGGTTCATCGGAGGTCGAGTCATCTTTGTGGAGAAACTGCCCAAGGATGTGGCTTTCTTTAAGGAAGTTGAATGGTAGGTACAAGTTTCTTGACACACACACACACACACACAGACACACACACATATATACAAGTCTCCTAACATTTAACCCTTGTCCTGCTGGCATATTTTATGTAATTTCTCATTTTTATGAGGTCATAAAGCCTTGACTTCTTCTGTCACTATGCTTCTGTGGCACAGTTACTTCTGCATGTGTAAACAAGTCTGAATTTTGAACATTTAACTTTACAACAGGGTAGAAAGGAAACGAAAGTGATCTCAATCCAGTTTTAGCTCACTGAAGAGCCAATCTTCCACTGGTTGTGGCAGAGAAGACAGACACTATGTACAGTATTTACAGGTTCATTGTACCGGGGAAATTCCCCTAGCTCTTTTTGACAAGCAGAATGAACAGTGGACCACAGCTTTATGTCTGACTCTTCAGAGAAATTATCCAATTGCTTAATTTATTTGTATTACGTAAAGATTGTACATTTTTTGGAAATTGTGATTTCATGTTTTTCTACAGTTACAAAGCCCTTGCAGATGAGGTGGCTAAGAACGCCCAGTGTGGGGAATACTCCATGGATGAGGATGAACTACTGAAGAGAAAGGCTTCTGCTATCATCAAGTGTTTTCTAGAATCCTCAATCCCCCCAAAGGTCCAGGTAAGCCTGTGGATTTGTGACAAATTCTCAGTATTGTTTAAAGTTAAATCTTTTGATCCAACACAAGAGATTGTTCTCTCCTAGAGCTTTCGACCAGTCACTCTGGTCTTCCTCAGTAGACTGACCCAGTGAAGCTTGTCATGTGGCTTCTCTGAAAAGTGACGTCAACACTGGGTCAAAGTTATCTGGTTAAATATTGGCCCCCCTCACCGTTGAGCGAAGGGTGATGGGCCCTAATTTTAATGGCTTCTTTCACCTCTCAGGAAGTAGTCTTATAGTCTCAGTAATGTTTTTGACTTTTTGACTGTGTTTTTTTCTGTACGTGTATTTATTAATTTCTGAGTAAATGTGTGTGAGTTTGTCTATGTGAGTGTATGTGTGTGTATTTTAAGAGGTACATGTACTAGTTTTTCATTGTTTTACAATGACTGTTTGTCTCCCACCCCAGATAAACATCCCACCAGAAATGGCGTCTCACATTATCGGGGATGCAAACCGTGGGTTCTACGACCGCGGGCTGTTCTACGATGCCATCATGACAATCTTCCCCACCCTGGTGCACTTCTGGAAAAAGTGGGTACCGCTTATGTTACTTAAATATAGCATAAAGTTCTTCCCACACCAGGTGGTGTGTAGGGTGGCACTCATCTCTGGGTCAGTAGCCCTTGGGCCATACAGTAGTGCAATCACTACAGCAGGGGGCTAGTCTACTGGTAGTGGTGTTTGTTAAACTCCCATACTCTTAACTAAGCAGAAAAAGTATCTTTACCTAGAGTGGTCCATAGATGTAAAATGCATGAAGCACACTTGACTTATAATGTTTTAAACACATAGTAATAACATGATACAGTAAATGTGATACATGTGTCCATTGTTTTACAGCTTTTAAGAAGAGAAGAAGCAAAAAAAATTAGGGAACTGGTCAAAAATCAGTGAGAGGGGCCTTTTTTAATTATTATTTTATTGTTTTATTTGCAGGTATTGTCGAGAGAAGAATGACCTTTCACCCCATGAGGATTGGAGGCTGACACTGAAGAAAAAGACTCTCCAGTTCCCAGACTACCTCAACATGAACACAGAGGAACCGTTTGTTAGGATACCTGGGATTTCATGTATGTTTAATGATATTCAGTCTTTTATTTTATGTACATTATTTTGTTAAAAATTGAGCAAAGAAGTCCTATCCCCAAAACAAAAAACTTATTACGGTATAAGTTAAAACATAAAATTTTTTTCCGTCGCGTGCTGAAAAGTTCCTGTAATTGACTGAAAAAACGGCCCTGACTAGAGCCCTGGTATTTAAACTGTATAAAATCACAATTTTTTTTGCAGTAGTTTTACATTCGCAGTTTGTGTGATGTCACTTCTGTACTGCAAAGTTATCATTACAAACAAAACAAAACATTCAGCGACTTTCTCTTTGCTGCACCTGCTGCCACCATGAACATGTCCATTTTTCTCAGACTGTGAAATTTTGCTATCGTGAACATGAAGTGAATTACATTATTTCCAAAATATGACTGCACTCTCTCTCTCTCTCTCTCTCTCTCTCTCTCTCTCTCCCTCTCTCTCCTTCCGCAGTGTCGGACCCCCCACGGCTCCTGTTCTCCATGGCGCAGGGCCCGCGGTTCATCGCTCCCCCTAAACTACCGGAGGGTAACGAGGAGATGCCTGATGACCTGGTGGTTTATCTGAGTACACGCGGGGATGTCGTCAGGGGCGTGTCACCCAGCATGCTGCGGGCATGACAGTACAGGAAAAGAACAACGGAAATTGTATACACGTACATGTAAAAATATGGAAAGTCATGCAAAGGCAGTGCCATGTTGTGGATGGTTGGAATAAATCACTTGATGCATTTTATTGCAGTTTAGTTGTTTTTATTCCTAAAAAATTTTCTCTGTTGTGCTAATTATAAATGATAGATTCAAACAAGAATTCGGAGATCTCAGACCTCCATGAATTTATTAATTTAAAAATACACATGTATTTAGATCTTGTGTGATGGTCCGCTCAGACTCCTCATTCACAAGAGTGTCTACAAGTCTAAATTCTTAATCGTGCAAATGAAACAAGACCTGAGCTGTCAAGGAGGTCATGTAACTAAAAAAAACACGTGAAAGCAGTTTGGTGACAGAATATTCACCATGCTGAAGGTTAGCAAGCTCTACCAATGTAACGTTAGATGTGATTAATGACTTTCTCCCTCTTGAAAAGACAACCCAACCATATGCATTATCCATTTGAATACAACCTGACCTAAGGGCCATGGGGAAACGCACTGACACACACAGAGATCAACCAAAATCAGCAAAAGCCTTGGTAGACAAAATGTGGAAACACACACACACTGACACAAACATAACATTTACACAGACATGCCAAAAACAATACCTCCATTTTTCATGGAGGTAACAAAAGGGTGAAAAGCAGTTTTTGAACCCTCCTCCCTTAGCTGTGTGTTCAGGAGAGTAGACAGTGAATCTGTCGTGCCGATGTGTTGTGGTGTGTTACGCCGAAAGGCGGTTATACCGGCTATACAGATACAGATACAGATACAGACTTTGTCCGCCCGGGGGCGCTTCTGCCCCTTCCGGAAGGGCGTGGTGCGCGGTGCATGCCGGGGCAGCTGACGTCTCGGGACTCGGGCAGACAAACCGCCTCCATTATCCGAGCTGGGCTGAAAAAACTGTCGCCGCCTTCAGCCGTTTTGGGCCCGCAAAGGTCGCTCTCAGCTCCGCCGGGCTGCCCCGGACCTAGACGACAGCCATGTTCAAGTGCATCCCCTTGTTCCGGGCCTGCAACAGGCAGGTAGAGTACGTGGACAAGCGGCACTGTAATCTTATGGTGGTTCCCGACGACATCTATCGCTACGCGCGTACTTTGGAAGAGCTGCTCTTGGATGGCAACCAGATCAGAGAGCTACCCAGGGTAAGAACGCGTCCTAACTCTCCTGTACTTACTGTATAAACCTGATGTAGTACACTCTGTGGTGTAGGTTTTCTACAGAACCGATCGCCCCCCTCCCCAACACAGCTTGTTCCTGTGCCCCCCCGTAGACTCGGGTTGTATCGACTAACCCACATTTTTTCCCTCCTAAATTTCATACCGTAAATATGCAAATCCAGACCCGCTAAATGTTTCATAAGACCCGGAATCCCACGGAGAGTTGAGCCATCAGGTCATTTGAGGGATAAATTCCCAGTTCTTAACAAGATTTGGTTCCGATTTTCGGTTATTTACGATTTAGAAAGTTGAGAGGAACGCTTGCCCCCCTCCCCATCTTGTTTACACCCGATTTAGAAAAGTGACTTCCGCTTGAGTTCAAAGAAAAACAGACAATCAGAAATAAAACAAACGCTCCAACGGGCGTGATTTTACGTCTAGTACGAACCGTTTAAGGATTCTGTTTGAAAATTTTATCTGTGTAGGGCTTCTTTTTTCATCAAACTCAACTAGACCATGTTAAAGCTTTATCTATGTCAAGAAAGTCAACAGTTCCTAATTTGCCTTTGTAACAATGGCTAGCCTACTTTGTAAACTCATTTATATGTAGTTGTCCATGTAAATCTAACAATAAAACAAATGTGCAACAAAGTTATTTATTGCATGGAGAGGAAGAAAGAAAGTGCTACAGATTTTTTAAATGCAAGTTTTGAGAGTTGCAAAGAAGAGTGATGCATATGAAAAAAGTAAAAATATTATGTTTCAAGCAGTCCTGAAATTGCACTGGGTGCTTAATTGTTTTTTATCCTGTAAAATATAATGTCTAGGATTTTTTACATGACTCATACAAAAGTTACAAAGCTAGAACTTTGATAAAAGGAAAGAGGCATTCCAGAAATGCACCACTTCCTCGTTGTGAAGTCATCCATGGTACAGTCACATCTTGGTCTTTGTTAACGAGAAACAATTAATTGTCCCCAATTACTCAAGACTTAAATATAGGACAATTAGTAGACAAGAAATCTGTGGTATGTCAGTACTTTAAAGGTGTCCAATGCAATTTCAGGAAAAGAAAACTAATTCTAGTATTCTGGATGAGGAAATCTATCTGAATTTCTGATAATATTGATATTTTCAATTTTGAGTTCAGTGCACTAGTGGTAACTTTAACAGATTAAATTTTTGCCTAACTGAATGAACAATGTTGTATTACAGGCAATCAATCAATGATCAATAATTTTATTAAAACAGCGTAGCCCTGTTGGCCCAAGTCCATTTTTCATAGCAGTGTTGAGGTCATGGGTCAACTCAGTAGAATGAGATATGAAAAAAACATAACATTACAGACTTTTTTTACACAGATTCTTGCCCATCAAAGATAAAAGATTGGGCAAAATTTGCAACAAAATTTGCAGCAAAATTCTGTCAATGAGTAAGAGGATATCATCATATTCCATTTTCAGGGCCTGTTTTTGTCAGTTATCTAGTTCTAGAGGGTAACAGCGAAATGACCTCTGTACATTTGATTGTTCCCATAGAAAGATGAATATGGCCTTGCCCACCACCCAATCTCGTGTTCAGGCCATTTTCATTATAACCTGGTTCATCTGTAATGACAGTGATTCCATTCGCCCTTGGAATGGTGATAGAACATAGCTGTACTGATATGTAGAATTTGCTGGAAAACCTAGGTACCAAGGTGGTCTTGTGGTTAGGGTTGTTGACTCAGAATCCAAAGGTTCTGGGTTCAAATCCCTGGCAGGCCCCAGTATTGTGTCCTTGGGAAAGGCACTTAACACCTATTTCCTTACTTGACTCAGGTGTAAATGAGTACCTAGCTTCAGTAAGGGACGTTCTCTTGGATAGGACGTAAAGCCAGAGGTCCTGTGTTTAAGAAAAGCCCCACCTTGAGCATGATAAAGATCCCACCACACTTATTGAAAAGAGCAAGGGTCCTTCCTGGTTAGAGTGGTTCAAACCTTACAGTCTGGTCTCAGGTTTGACATCTTGAAGAGGTGATAGTCACCTGTTATGTCAATCCTTCCACAATGTGGTAAAACTTCATAAATAAATAAATAGAAAAAAAAAACAACTTTTTGCTTCTGATGTTTCTATAGTTATTTTCACCTGCTAGACACCTTGGGGACTCTGACAGGAAGTTAGGTCAAAGGTCCTAGAAAAGTCTGAGAAAAGGTTGTCTCATTTCCTCCCCTGTATTGGGTTAGAAACCTCACAGGAAAAACATCAGCAAAGAGCCAATTAGACAGTCGGTTCTGTGAATGTGGGAAAAGTTTGTCATATTAGTGCTGCATACCTAAACCCAATTTTAGGTTCAGGTCCGGATTCAAGTCCAGAGGTTTACGTTCAGGTCCGGACTTGTAAGTCCGGACCTAAACCCATGGCATATACAAAATTGCATGTTGGCAACCTTGCAATGTTGTCTGGGTATAACTTTGGCCACATAACATGGAGGCCAACACTTGACGATGCCCGATGACAATGTTTTCTTCGTTGCAGCAAAGATTTTACAATCTACAGAAGGTTTTAGGTGGTTTGGAAAGAAAAGGGGTATGTGAAATGGTCTTTTATGGTAATAAGTCCGGACTCGGTTCTTGACTTTAAGGTTTTTTTGGACTTGAACCTAAACATTCTTACAAGTCCGGATCCAAGTCCAGTGAACTGGTATGCATCACTATGTCACATATTAACTTTTTGTCAAATAGAGCTACAGTAGAAAAGTATGTGACATTTAAGCTGTTACTGATAATAGTGATATACCTTTGAGGAACAAAATATAAGCATTTTAAAACAATAAGAAGCTACATGTTGCATTTTAAAATCAAGTGAAAAGATGTCCAAATGACCTTTTTTTAACAAGTGAAACTGTAACAGTTTTTTCCTTTGAAAAGTTACTGAACGTCTTACTATTACGTATGTGATAGCTCAACTGTTATACTGCATAACACTATTCAAAAACAGATTATTGCTGGAAAATAATGGCAAAGGTGGGCTGATTTCTATGTAAATGTGTGAAAATTGCCCTTTTTCCTTGTCAATGTAAATACATCAGCTTAAAAGGCTACGTACGAAACAAATTGTAGTTCTGAGCAAATTGGTTTGGAAAATGCCATATATTGTGGAGGGTGGCATTTGAACAAGTCGATAGCCAAGAACAAAATGAATATTAATACATAATTGTAAACACTTTTATGCTGGCTTCATTTTATTTTTAATAAAATGTTGAAATACATGTGTAGTACAAAAGCTCTCAAACCTTTCGTACAAAAATATACTTGAAATTTTGTCTTGTTATTTGGTAGGTGCATAGGTCTTGATGAAACTTGAAAATTAGGTTTTGGGCCCCCTGTTGGCTTGTTATGGCACTGCAGGAAAACTAATTAAAAAGTCCACCTGTACCTTGCTGTAAGGCACTGTTCTAATGGTGTGTGTTTTTGTTTCCGCAGCCTTTTTTCCGCTTGATGAACCTGCGAAAGTTGAGCATCAGTGACAATGAACTTCTGCGTCTACCCGGAGAGATCTCCAACTTCATGTCACTCATGGAACTGGACTGTTCACGAAACGGTGAGGAGACAAAATTCAATGTCAAAGGTCTTTACTCACAACCACTTGTTTATAAGAGCTGATGTTTTGATGTTAGTTACTGGTTCACATAGATAAATAAACAGTCATCGAAATGTTGGCTTTTGTAAACAAGTGGTTGTGACTACTTTGCTAAATTATAATAAAATAGTAAATACGAAAACATATTGTTTTTGATACGTTTCCTCTTCTTCAAACCAAAAAGGTCAATGACCTGAACCAGACTTGTCTGTCACCATGGTAACTGGTGTTGGGTTACATCATGTTGCCATTTTATAGCAGGAGGGATTTAGACTCCTGTCTGACCATAGACAAGAATTAAGAAAACAGACCGTATGTGAAGGGAAATATTATGCATTTGCTTTGCAAATGTTACCTTTCTAGTTACCAAAATGTTCCAGTATGACACTGTAGAAATAGACTTACAGAAGATCAACTCTATAACATTGCATAACATTGTACAGGGAGGGAAATTTCAACATTGTTGCACATACAGACATTAAGAATTGTGGGGTTCCAAACTAAAGTACCTGAATTCCACATGGCATGTAAAGAATTTAAATCTTGGTTCCACAGTGGGAGAATCTGTATCAGTTGATCTCACTGGAATTTGTTATGGAATGTTACTTCCCACACATGGCCGAAGTGGTCCTGTATTTGATACCACCTGATTTCCGTTTTCTAGGAAAAATAGTGTGGCTGAAAGTAGGGGTGGTACAGTATTGTTCTAAGGGTAGGGAAGGACTTTACCTGAAGTGGGGGTTGTTCAGTATTGTCTAAGGGAGGGGATCAGTGAATGTTCAGCTTTTAGTTGGGGATGGTTCAATAGTGACCAAGGGAGGGTATAAGAAGATATTTTGATCCTCTTAGATTTAGGGAAGTTTCAGTATTGTTTCAAAAGTGGATCAGAACAAATTAGAAATTTTCTTAGGGATTGTACAGTATTGTTGGAGGGCAAGGAAATTTTCAATTATACAAGTTGGAAATGTATATAGAATTCAACAAAATGGCGAAATCTTTGTTCAGCAAATGTTCAAGAGTAAATCCACCCTAATACAAGAAGAATGGCAGATCCCTTAGTCTAAACTCTGGAAGTTGAGTTTTTACACTGTTACAAACACCACATACAGTAATCTGTGGTTTGAAAACTTGGCAGGAAACTGTGTAACAGATGACTGTGTACACAGGAATGTGCCTGGGGACTTCCTACATTACTGAGTAGAGGGTGGGTGGGGGGCATGACATTTGGGTTACTTAGAGTTAGATTACCCTAATACAAATTTGACACAGGAATAGAAATACTCCAGTTTGTATGAAGAGAATGGCTATACAAAGTGAAAGTTATGACTTTTGGCTCAGAAAATCCTACGCAAAAATCTAACTCAGGAATACAAAATCCCAATACAAATCTGACCTAGGAATAGAAATACAATACTTCAATTTGTCTACAGATCACAGGGTGTTAGGTTTGGGAAAGCCTGATTGTAGATTGTGTTAAAGCATTTGATTTGACCTTGACCACAGCCTTTTGAAGGTCACTTGGAATGTTTGAAGGTCAAATTCGTGACTTTCGGGGTAGGAAATCCTCCTCTAAAATTGACATCCAAGGCAAGAATAGAAATACTACAATTTGTCTAAAGATCACAGTCGTTAGGTTTTGAAGTCACAATGAAAGATTGCCGTGCTAACACTAGTAACAGCCTTCACCCCTGAGCTGTTAAAATCACACGGAATCTCAGGAATTGGCAACCTGTGAAAGCCATTGAGTAGATGGAATTGGCCAGGCCATAGCTAGAGGCCGACTTGTGGTTAAGAAGAGGGCAGAAAGGATCTAAGACAAGTGTGGAGATCTAAGAGTGATATGAAGTAAGAAGATGATAAAAGGATAATGATTTTGTTCAGGGTAGAAAAGGAAAACTTTGGTGAATACTCCAACTTCAAAAATGCAAAGTGACTATGAAAGTTTCAGGGCTTGAAATCCTTTTTTCTGCATACCTGTATATTGAAAATTACCTGCACCAGACAAATTTTACCTGCAACACTCAGAATTCAGGAAGTATGGGATTCATATATCAAAATTTGTACCCATTTTACAATAGATTCAAAGTGACCCAGCCGGCGCCATTTTAAATTGTGGAAAGACACACTGTCCATATTAATTGCAAACTATCCGATTTCATCAAGATTTGTCGCAAGTTATTATAAAAAAGTTTTCCATCACACACTTAAAAAAGTTATGTGGTCATCATAGGCAGAGATTGGGCCATGTGCAGTCCCAAATAATGCCAATCGCAGTTGCAATGGACAACTGGTCGGCTTTGGCAAGTTGGATAGTACCTTAATGCTTATGTCTATAGGGAATAAAGTCAGGACTGGGAAAAAGCAACTGTTATGGCCAGATAGCCAGCTTACACAGGTGGTCAGCATGGTCAAGTTTGACTATATACCAGCAACTGAAGAAAAAAAACAACAACAGTGGAACATGTCCAAGACTTGTCAAGACTGTTATAAATGCTAAATTTTATTATTCTGTCTTCACAGATCTTCCAGACATCCCAGAAAACATCAAGTTCTGCAAGTCCCTGTCTGTGGTGGACTTCAGTGGGAACCCCATCGCAAAGTAAGTCATCAGACAACATATCCTCACATTACACACATGCACAAGAGAGCACGTCGGCAGAACGTACTGCACCTGCACGAAACCCGTAATGTATTGTACATAGCATTTCGCTCATGTAAGGTTAGCATTTCGACAGTAGTTTCCAAATGTTATGTCAGAAAGAATATCCTCTGCAACAGGCAAAATTCTGATGCAACGTTGACCAAAAACCCAACGAAAAACGCGAAAATACGGGGTTCTGCGCAGGCGCAGTACATTCTGCCGACGTGCTACACAAGAGTGGATTTTACCAACATGAAATCGTAGGTATTATTTTTGTTATGCCTGTTGTGTGTGTGTGTTAATAAGACCAATGACTGATCAGGTAACAAAAACCCACTAGGTGGGGAATTGGCAATTCTAACTTCTAAATTCTAATAAACATCATTTAAAAAAGCTTTGGGTAAACAATTGTTTACAGTATGGGGTAAACGTAAACAATTACAGTAGATGAGTATGTTTGTATGCCATTCAGGCAGCATTTACATATATTAGAGTTGTTACCAGTGTTCTTGCCAGCCTGAAATTTTTCTGTCATCTCAATTTTGTTTGACGTAATGTCAAGTTGAGTGCAGAAGGTGTGATTTTCCTAGGAAAATTTTAAATTATTTCCTGCATTTTGAGGAGGAAATTTTGCTAGTAGAGTTAGTTTAATGACATCTATTTTCATATCTTCATACACCAATATTTGTCTGTCAAAGATGATGGATTGGGCAAAATTTTTGAGCGAAGTTGCTACTTTTACTAATGCTGCACTTTATATTGATGGATTTGTTTTTGTGAAAGAGTAAAATCCTGTACATTACATCCCCGGCTTGTATCAGTGATTGGTACGGTCCTCTGGTAGCAGATGAATGATTGCAGCGGCTTGTACCACCTGTAGATGTAATCGGGGGTCGTAGGGGTGATATTTTTTATGGTATCCCTTCTGCACCTCTGTAATGCTACTCGTGTGTCAACACTTTAGTGATGACTGAAGTAGTTTGTAAAAGGTAAGGTGGAATTTTCCGCCAGAATGATTGGTTTAGGGAAGTGCCATCTATCTGTGTACAAGACATAGAGGCAAGGCATTACTTACATATGCGTAGGGAGAAACCATTCAAGTCTTAGACAGGGGGGTCTTACTATTCTAAATGTGATTTTCACTGTGTTAGAATTTAAATACCCATTCGCAGTCTACATTTTGTAGAAGCATTTTCAATATTGGAGAAGAAAAATCAAGCAAGCTGCAATTTTTAGGCATATTTGTATGTCTGTGTATGTTTCAATTTCTGTATGTTCTGCTAGAGGGTGCGCAATGTTGAGGTGGTGAAGTCTGCTATCTCTTGATCTTCTTGGTGTACATGTAAGATTATACAAAATCTTGTTCTAAATTTGTTGTATATGAAATTTTTTGAGTGCAAGAATAGCAAGAATTGAGAGATTTCAGACTTTCAGAAAATATGAAGAAATGAAAATGACTATTATTCGCCATTTGTTCAACCTTCATGACCATGTACAAATGTAGTTATAATAATATGAAGGCAACTTTTGTTTGTGTTTTTCTGAACTTATTTTATTCGTACGCTCGAATCAGTTTTGGTGTTCCTAGATAATGTCATACATATAATCAAATGCACATGGCCTTATTCTGCCTGTCAGTCTCTTCCTACCCATGTGCTGTCAACCTAATCTGCTTGGTAAAATGTACATGGCACACACACAAAAGAAACGGATATGTTGCCTTTCTCTATGTTGTGTTTCGGACATTTTTGGACTGTGTGTGGTATTGGTGCGCCGAAATCAATAACTTGTTATTTCAGCCAGGTTGCGGGAAGGCTGCCGATAATTTATTTTCGTCCCTACGGGATTGTACGCAATCAGTCACGTCTGTACTGTAGACACTTGTTAGGCCGTGGTTATATGTTGCGTGCATATGTGTGTGCTTTCAAGTCTGAAGAAGGAGAATTTAGATTTAAAAGGTTGCTAATATGAAGTTAAAAGCTAGGAACTTTGAGAATACTAAAACAGGGCGCAAAATAATTTTTTCTGCATACCTGCAACTTGCAAGTTGGTGCTGGTAATGTTGAAAATTACTACAATCGTTTTTGGTACATCCCTAATTCTGACATATTTGCCAACCATTGACAATCAGTCGTACAGTTTCTACATTGTAACGAGCCTTGATTGTAAAATCACTGCCATGCATTATATTATATAATAATCAATAATTCTACTAGCAACTCGGCATGAGTCTTTATTAGTGGAATTTCTTTTGCATAAATGTGTAATTCTGTCGACAAATACATAATGAAATTCAAAGGCGCGGTTATAACGCACTCCTAGTAATATGTCGTCAAATATAAAATGATTTCAGTGGCGTGAAATTATGTCACATTTCAAATTCCATGCAAATAACTGAAAATATTGCTGCAATTTCAAGTCATTCGCTTTATGAGTTTCTTATTAATGTATAAATGATTGCAATTTGAAGACTGTTAGAATTTTTGTTTTTCGCTTGTCTTTTGCTTGTCTTTCCAAACACTCTGAATTGAAATACTGTAAATCACTTCATATTCACGGTACTTTTATTTTCGCGTTTTTTGCATCACTTCTGTACGGCAAATAATTTGCTGACTTTCTTTATTCTGCCACTTCGAAACATATATTTCTGTGAACATGTCCATTTTTCACAGACTTCAAAATTTTGCTACTGCAAATTTAAAATTATTTACAGTACTCCACAGGCAAACAGGTGGACAGGTCCTTAAGACAGTCCCCTTGCATTGTTAAACATTATTTATCATTTAAGCCAAGATCTAGAAAAAAAGAAAGAAAAGAAAAAGATAAGAAGAAAATCCCTACCTACCGACCCTAGTATTTTTAGGACTGAAACTGGAAACACAACGCTAATTTTCCTAGGCCTGAATGACCAATGACCAAGGTCTTTAGACAAAGCCCTTTGAAAGGCGACGCTCATTACGTGTTAAGAGTACCAGAAACATGGAATAATTTATTGCAATATCTTTTACAAGTCCCATTCCCCTGGGGCTCTATTTGACAGCTTTTGAAAGGTTTCCCATGAAGTATGTATGGATCTGTGGCCTGTAATAAGATGATTGAATTAAACATGGTGTGTTATTATTGGCTTGGAGGTGGTGGGTCAGATACAGTACCCAGGGTGCACTTTGATATTACAGGCATCCAATGCAATTTTAGGGCAGCAAAACAGAAAATATTCTGGATGAGGAAATCTGTCTGATATTGACATTTTACTACAATTTCTTACTTTAATACAACTTCAAACGTTTGAAATAGCACCAAAACAAGCTACGTGAGGCATCTATTAATTTTTTGGTACCACCCATAAATAGCTAGAACCAGCCTGCTATGCAAAAAAAGTAACTGAATGAAGAGACTCCTTTTATACAACCAAGTGAAAATTGCATTTTTACCTCACAGAAACCAGTATGCTAAATAATTGCTATTGATTCAACTTTAACTACATTAAAAATAAAATATTGACCAGAAAACTGACTTTGAAAGTCCAGTTTTGTCGCCTTGAGATTGCACCAGTAGCTCCCTGTCTATCCCTGTAAGGCCACACCAATTTAATTTGTTGGTTCTCGGATTCGCCTCTTCGTTTTTTTCTGATTTGCAAAAAAAAAAAAATTGATTCTGGTCCTGAATCAACTGAAAAATGCTCATGTTTTGCCCCCAACAGTTCAGGAAAGTCCTTTTCTTCCTAGTTGTTACAGTTTGCCCATCTATCATTGCAGTGGTTTGATTAAAATTTCAAAATTCATTGTTTAAATTTTAACCCAGCCTTTTGTGTTGACTTCATGGCTCATTTCGTAGCATTTAAGCCTATAATAGGATGCCTAGACCTGTTTTTTATTTTTATTTTTTTCGCCCTGTCGCTTCATATTTTTCTGAAAAAATCCGAGAACCAACAAATTAAATTGGTGTGGCCTAACCAATAGAGAATATTTGTAACGGTAACCAAATGGCTATTTCAGTGTGCTAAAGGTTTCAAAGAACGAGGAATGGCTTGTTTTTGCATATTGCAGTGGTCGAAATACTTTTTTTCAGTGCTCTGCAATATTGCAGAAGAGTCAAAATTTCGTCCTGCAATTTGGAAACACTTTCTGCAACTACACAAGCCCCCATATTACAACCTTCTGAAACCAATAATGCCTATTCTTACATCATATATATATAACGTTAACGGTAATAGTTATAGCTTTGTAAATCTGTAGCATTACTGAAATTCTTCAAAATATCAATCTTTTAAATATGTTCGGACCGTAAAACTTTATCGGTCCGGTCCAAAAAAACCGAAACGTCGGTGGACCGGTTTTTTTGACCGGAACAAAAATCCATATTTGTTGTTATGAATAACTGATGATCACTACATACAAAGAAGCCTGCCAGGAAAATGAAAATCCAGCCTTCAAATAAAAGAAGTTTACCTTAGTCTCCGTCTCTCTCATTTTGCAACAATATGGTTTTTCGGAGGAGCCATGTTTCCTTTGCCGTGTTGCCTGCTGGGAAATGCTCAGCGAAAACTGCCGAAAATTCACGAGGCAGTTGTCGGGTCCTCCCGGGAGACGAAATCTAACATCGGAAAATGGCGAGTGCCCATATTTGGTTATCGTCGCCTTTCGTCGCCTTGTCGAAATCGTTCAACTTTGACCCCAAATTCCCTTATATGGGACCATTACAGTCTGCTGAAAAACGCCGGCAGGTTCGTGCGGCGCAGGTTTTCGATCTATTCACAGCGCCACTGCTTTGCTAATTGAAAACTATTGAATCCGGAGCCTATTTTTTCCTTCTGCAAAATTGCAGATTGTAAGATTTTTTCTTCTGCAATCTTGAAAATCTATCTGCAAATTGCAGACTGCAGACGGGTATTTCGAACACTGATATTGGATGGTCATTTATGGGAAGGGATTGGGAACTATCACACATTTGCTTACAAA